CAAGAATGACCCCAAAAGAAGTAATGGACGTACAAGTGAGGATAGCAGACATGGTCTTATTCTAAACAAGGCAATTAAAAATTGCATTTGCTTCCATTTTCCCTGGCTCACCCGGTCTGCCAAGCTGTTCTTAATGATGAAAACATTGTTTGGGGGTGAGAGGTTTTTTTATTATTTAAAAAATGGTTGGTGTCTTCCAGTCCATGCCTACATTGGTAATGGCTTGGTTTTTTCATTGTGTCTTAAATTCTAGAGGTAATGTTTCTGCCCCCACCCTTCAGTCTCTCTTATGTAGTCCATACTTCAATATACCTTCCATTCTGCCACTGTTGGAGGCCCTTCCAGAAGAGACTCTTCCTGGCTTGAGCATCCACATTCTTTGCGATACTCGGTTAGGGCAGTATGAGAGATCCATTGACAAACTTCTGGAAAGATGCCCTCAAGCCGTCATACCCTACGCCCAACATGAATTGAAGCATGAATGTCGGGTGAGCTTTATTTATTACCTTCATTCAGTATTAGCTCTGTTTGTTTTCTCTCCTTTAAACCCATGAACAAAAAAAAGCACTGCTAGAAAATCATATAAGTATTTGTACTGCTAACCTTTCCTTAAGTTGATCAGCTTTCCATGCATTTGTTAAACAGGATTAACATAGCGCAATTATTCAATACTTTGCTCAGGCATTCTTTTAAAAAACGCTCACAGTTGAAATGTACTTCAGTGGAGGAGTTTGGATTTGATATCCCGCTTTATCACTACCTGAAGGAGTCTCAAAGCAGCTAACATTCTCCTTTCCCTTCCTCCCCCACAACAAACACTCTGTGAGGTGAGTGGGGCTGAGAGACTTCAGAAAAGTGTGACTAGCCCAAGGTCACCCAGCAGCTGCATGTGGAGGAGCGGAGACGCGAACCCGGTTCACCAGATTACGAGTCTACCGCTCTTAACCACTACACCACACTGGCTCTTGTGTGAAATGCTTGTGAAGTGCTTGTGTGAAATGCTCACAAGGCTTGCTTTATTCTGCTGGATATAGAAAACTGGTGTTCTTTCGAGAAGACACACCTTGGAGGCTGTTTGTTGCTTTCCTGCTACGGTTTCCTCAGCTGCCTTTTCACCATCACACTTGGTGTTACAAAGCTTCTGCTGTCCTGAAATGTCATGTACGTTCTGATGGCGTGTACATTGTTATTGATGAGCATTGCTCCATCCACCATATAGTGACCCCATTAAAGGTAAAGGTAAAGGTACCCCTGTCCGTACGGGCCAGTCTTGACAGACTCTGGGGTTGTGCGCCCATCTCACTCTATAGGCCGGGAGCCAGCGCTGTCCGAAGACACTTCCGGGTCACATGGCCAGCGGGACAAGCTGCATCTGGCAAGCCAGCGCAGCACACGGAACGCCGTTTACCTTCCCGCTGGTAAGCGGTCCCTATTTATCTACTTGCACCCGGGGGTGCTTTCGAACTGCTAGGTTGGCAGGCGCTGGGACCGAGCAGCGGGAGCGCACCCCGCCGCGGGGATTCGAACCGCCGACCTTTCGATCGGCAAGCCCTAGGCGCTGAGGCTTTTACCCACAGCGCCACCCGCGTCCCATACAGTGACCCCATTAGTGCACAAATATAAAGCATGGTTAAACGCTGCGTTGCCAACATTCAGCAAGTCTAAGCAAAGCTTTGGGCTTGTGTATTGAACACACATTAGGGACGCGGGTGGCGCTGTGGGTAAAACCTCAGTGCCTAGGACTTGCTGATCATAAGGTCGGCGGTTTGAATCCCCGCGGCGGGGTGAGCTCCCGTCATTCGGTCCCAGCTCCTGCCCACCTAGCAGTTCGAAAGCACTCTTAAGTGCAAGTAGATAAATAGGGACCACTTTATAGCGGGAAGGTAAACGCCGTTTCCGTGTGCTGCGCTTGTGCAGGCTCGCCAGCTGCAGCTTCGTCACGCTTGCCGCGTGACCCGGAAGTGTCTTCGGACGGCGCCGGCTCACGGCCTCTAGAGCGAGATGAGCACGCAACCCTAGAGTCGGACACGACTGGACTGTACGGGCAGGGGTACCTTTACCTTACCTATTGAACACACACACATATACATACATACATACATACATGTATACATGGTCCCCTGTGGAGATGGTAATCTGGCTCATGTTCTCCTGTCTTGTCCCCTTAATAAAGATCTGAGGAATGAGATCATTACCCCACTCTTACTTACCATCCCAGGCCGCCCATCTGAGGCCACATTGTTCTTTCTTTTATCAGATCAAAATGATCAGACAACAGCAAAGGTTGCTAGGTTTATTGAGGGTGCAGTGAGATTAAGGGCCACTATCTGAACGATAATCTTGGTCATTTGATTGCCCTTTTTACCCATTGCTGTCTTTTTTATTTGTATATATTTTATTTGTATATATTGCTTGTTTTATGTTGCTATGGCCGTTGGCTAATGCGAATAAAGTTTATCTTATCTTATCACGGATACATGGCTTGCATGAGGACTTTTACAAAGCCTAGTTTCTCTTTTATTAAATCTTGGGTTAGCATTTGCATTCAAGCAAGGGAGCGTTGTTATAAAACTCTGGCCAGTCTCATAATAAGCCAGCTCACACCATGGGTTGTGAAGCTCAGTTGTATAACCGTTGCTGCAATTCATGATCCTCATGTGTACAATGTGCTAAACTGAGATTCCTAAAATGCAAGGCCAAACTTGGTAGAAGTCCTCCTGGAGAGCAAGTCCAACACGTGGACTTGTTTGCATTGTGCTAAACCGTGGTTTGGTGTTACTTGCAAATACAGCTGTTATGTAAGTTACACCGATGTAATATTGTGGAAGTCAAGATTGTGTTGGGGTGCTAAATTGTGTGTGTGTGTGTGAGAGAGAGAGAGAGAGACACAGAGAGAGAGAATGAGAAAAAGCTTCTAGTCTGCTAAGAAAAGCTTCAAATATAATTTGAAAGTTATAGGCAATGCTTGCTTAAATCTGACACTTAGGAGTGGGGCAGCATTTTCAATGTCTTTCTTTCTTTCCCCTGTAACAGTGGAAGGGAACGCATTGTATAAAGTATATATAATTTTGTATGATTTCTGCAGGTCACAGAATGCAGCTTTCCTTGGCACTGTTAGGCATTTTATCACTTCTTTCATCTCGGCTTGTACTTTGCCCTGAATTCTTAGTATCACAAGAGGGAGCCATCGCTCTTGTTTGTTGATAAGTTTAAGAAGAACCCTGACAAGCTATACTTCACAGATATAAGAGTGACAAATATAAATATATATTGTATTTAAAGGTGCTCCTTTAAGACAGAAAGTGTGTGTGTGTGTGTTAAGAAACAAAGAGGTTGTATTCCATTAGGAACATCATAGCACTCTTGATATTTTTTCCCTCTCTCCTTGGGTCTTGCGGCTGGCTTAGGCTCTGTGGTGGAACAAACTCCTTCCTGAGCTCTGTAAACGAATCAGAGATCCTGGAGACAACTATTCTGTACTCCTGTCATCCCTAACAGGTAAAGAAATGTGCTTCTTGTCAGTTTGTGGATGTGCAGAGTCTTTGCAGTGTTTTTTTTTAAAAAAAAGCTTTTTAGATGTATAGATGGCTGCCATGGGGGGCGGTGCTTTTAATGACTATATTAAAGAACTGGATTCAGAGCAGATGCTAAGTGAGCTCATTTCTGCACAAATCGCAACACTTTCAAGGCTAAACGTAATTAGGCAAAGTAAGAATTGATGGCTAAAGAGAATCTTGTTTAAATATGGTGTATCTTCCCTGCCCAGAAACGTTATCTGTCATTGCCATGGAACTGGAATTGAGGGACTTCCTTAATGTTTTACCAGAAGATGGGAATGCAGCATTCTTCCTGCCACATCTGCTTCAGTGCAGCAGAAGGAAACTAGTGACCTAAGCACAAGAAAGGAGGACTGCATGATCTCTGAGAAACGTTTTGCAAGAGAAAGTACTGAAATGGACGAAAGCTCGCTCTGCAACTATAAATTCAATACTGTAGATATGGTGGTCTTTAGCATTTCCCTGTGTGCGTGAGAAGATTGGTTGACACATTAAAATATAAATATTGGCACATTAAAGTAAGTTTGTGTGTGTAGTTTTTAAGACTTTGCCTGTTTCAGCTGTGGCCTGAAATCCTTTCCTAACCATCTCACTCCCCTTTCTTATGATAGTTTTATGATGCTAAACACTGGTGTTATAAGTGAGCTAGACATATACTATGTGGAGAAAGTTGAGCTAAATGCCAGTACATTCCAAGGATAGCTTTACTGTGAATATAATTCAGTTTTATTCTCCTTATAATCACCTGTGTCAGATGGGGTGTCCAGCAAACCGAACAGCTGAAAATCTCATGTGAATAATAATAATAAAATTTTCTGCACCAAAAGCCATGAATACAAGTGACAGCAAGTTCTTGGATTTCCTTTTGGATCTGTAGTAGCCTGTTTGTTCAAGCAGCTTTCTGTAACGGGACTTCACTGAAATCAGATGCTGGGGCTGTTCTTATAAGCTGGTCCTATCACGGACTTTCTGCACAAACAATAACACGTGCTATTTAATCTGCCTTGAGTTTCTCCCTGTTCTCTATTTACAACTGTCTGGAAGTACCAAAAAATACTAAGATTTATAAATGTGTAAAGGTAAAGGGACCCCTGAGCATTAGGTCCAGTCACGGACGACTCTGGGGTTGCGGCGCTCATCTTGCTTTACTGGCCGAGGGAGCCAGCGTACAGCTTCCGGGTCATGTAGCCAGCATGACTAAGCTGCTTCTGGTGAACCAGAGCAGCGCACGGAAACGCCGTTTACCTTCCCGCCAGAGCGGCACCTATTTATCTACTTGCACTTGAAATGCATGCTGTCTAATAACAGCTGGGTGAGTGAGATGTACACGTCAACAAAAGTGAGATTCAAAATGACAGAGTGAATATAGCTTGGATGTTGTCCACCCCACCCCACCAAGGCTGGCAACACACACTATTCATAGAAAGAAGAACCGAAACAGTCTTGAGTAGATTGGCTGTCTTTTATTTAGCGTGTGCGTTGTTTAAATGTTGTTGCTGGCAGTTCCCCCCACCACGGTTTCATTTATAGCGGGAGGCAGTGGAAGACAGGCGTGCCTGGCGTGCTCTGGTCCATGGGGTCACGAAGAGTCAGACACGACTAAACAACAACAATAAACGTAGCACAGTGGAAGAGATTAGCAGGTGAATCCCTTCTTGGTGTGGAAATAAGCAATAGAAAAATAGGCTCAGGGGATGTTAAAAGTCCAGGGGTAGGAACTTGAGTGGCGGATGGAAGCAGCAGCACTTGGTGGAATCATAGAAATGCTACACAAAACAACAGAATCATGGAGGTGAGGTAGAGGGTGGGATCCCTGCTGCTGGACTTATTTCTGAAAAGAGAGGACGTAAGGCCACTTGAAGAATGCAACAGTTGGGTATATGTGGTCGCTGTTAATGGGCAGGGAGCAGATCTTAAGCTTCGTCTGCTGTAGGTTGATATTATTAGTTTGCCTATTGTTATCCTTGGCTCCATCTATCATGATCTATCCTGCCTTTCTTACCCAATGTTCTCAGCTGCCACTGAGTTAGCCTCAATTGTGCAGCTGGCAGCAGATAACATCAGTTTGCTCTTCTGATGTGGGGAGCAGCACAAGATTGCTGTAGCTCAGGGATGTGGAATCTTTCTAGGCTGATGATTTCATTTCCCCACCCTTCACGGGCTAAGTTTTAACGGGTTATGATGGTGTCAGATGAACTTCTGTTTTGCCCTGAGGTCTTCAGAAGAGCCCCTTCCCAAATTCTATTTTGCACACCCTTTCAGCCTCCTTTCCATTTCTTAAATCTCCCCAGTTAGTGGTAGGCCTTGCAAGTGCAACATATTTCCTCGAACACAATTGGTGACTGCTTACCTTTGTTCTGGGAGCACAGTGTAGGTGGTCTCCATGCCAGCATGGATGTGGTCGGTCACATGACAGTGCAATAACCAAGTCCCAGGATACTTGGGCCTCATTTCAACAGTTTGAAAAGTCCCAGGAAACAGATCAAAGACATCAGCCCGGTAGGTTCTGGTGTTCTTTTAGGGCAAGCACAAAAAAAACAACCACTTTACATCAGTAAACATTTTTGCAGCGTCTTTGAAGTAATTAATTGGAAGACATAAAATGAGTTAAGAATATTGTGGCAGAACTTGGAATGTATTTGTACTGGAAACTTATACAATTGGAAGAAAAATGCAGGCAACCTAATTTTTTAAAAAATAAGTAAGAGCCATCTATGCCTACTTCCCCTTTATTGCATGAGGGAGAAATTGGTTTCAGTTTATAACTCTTTGAAATTTGCACTTCTCTGAATTTTGCAATGCAGTTCTTTACCCAAGTAATGTGTGCAAATATGTGTATATTTAGGGTAAAGTGTGCATTAAAATGCATATACTGGTGAAAATAACAAGCAAAAATGCATTATATTATGGAAAATTGCTTTATAAAAATGTGTATATTAGGCAACATTGCATACAAAAAGGAGAAATTTACACTAAATACAAATTTTCATGAGGATAATAATTATTATAATTTTACTATTTATACCCCAACCATCTGATTGGGTTACCCCAGCCATTTCAACATACTGATTTCTAAATGTGAAGAACTAAACTTAACAATGGAAATGGAGAGAAACAAAAAAAAACAATCAGATTTGCCCATCCTTCATTTTATGTATTAGAAATAGCAACTTCGCCCAATCCGGTCCTGCTACTACCACCAGTTAAAACCAAAATCTGAAAAAACAGTGTGGGTTGTGGCAATGGGGTAGCTGTTAGGACACTGGGCAGTGGAGTTGGGGACTGTAGCCCTTTTCCTATCATTGCTTTCTTTAAAAGTTGCCTTTCCATTGAATTAGGATAGAAATTGCTGGTCTGTAATTTTTTTCAGACCTGCCAGCTTGGAGACAGATGGGATGTTAAAGTAACTTACTGTAATTACAAAGTGCACATTTAAAACTTCCCCTGCAAAAAATCCTGAAAACTATAGTTTTCCCCTCGCAGATTTTCAGTTTCAAGTGTTCTTAATGAGCTACAGTTTCCAGAATTCTTTGGGGGAAGTCATGTGCTTTAAACGCCTGCTGTGGATCTGCCCAAACCCACTTTGACCCTATTCCTAAACAAACCACCAATGCACCCTTCTTGTTTGCCACCAGTAACATTACGTCAGGTAGAAGATGGGAGGCAGTATTGTCAGCTGAAAGCTGTGCCGGTCAGAATAGAAAACACTGGGACAGTTGAGCATAAAGCAGGTTTGTATATTCAGTTGACTAAGAGCATTCTCCAAAAAACGCATTATCATTCCTCCAACATTAAGTTTAAAATTAAAGGCAGGAACCAACCATCTTACCTTATAGTCAAAGCTGTGGCCGTGGAAATGTGCTGTGTGCATATCCACTTCGTTCCCCATCCCCATTAAGTACCAGCTGACTTTGTCTCCAACGTGCATTGTAAGGCCATGCAAGTTTCCAAACACCTTTCCGTTAATGGCTAATAATAATAATAATAATAATAATAATTTATTATTTATACCCCGCCCATCTGGCTGGGTTTCCCCAGCCACTCTGGGCAGCTTCCAACAAAACACTAAAATACAATAACCCATTAAACATTAAAAGCCTCCCTAAACAGGGCTGCCTTTAGATGTCTTCTAAAAGTTTGGTAATTATTTTTCTCTTTGACATCTGGTGGGAGGGTGTTCCTCAGGGTGGGTGCCACTACCGAGAAGGTCCTCTGCCTTGTTCCCTGTAACTTGGCTTCTTGCAGCGAGGGAACTGCTAGAAGGCCCTCAGCGCTGGACCTCATTGTCCAGGCAGAACAATGGAGGTGGAGACGCTCCTTCAGGTATACTGGACCGAGGCCGTTTAGGGCTTTAAAGATCAGCACCAACACTTTGCATTTTGCTCAGAAACGTACTGGGAGCCAGTGTAGGTCTTTCAAGACCGGTGTTATATGGTCTCAGCAGCCACTCCCAATCACCAGTCTAGCTGCCACATTCTGGATTAGTTGTAGTTTCCAGGTCACCTTCAAAGGTAGCCCCACATAGAGCACATTGCAGTGGTCCAAGCGAGAGATAACCAGAGCATGTACCACTCTGGCGAGACAGTCCGCGGGCCTGCGTACCAGATGGAGCTGATAAACAGCTGCCCTGGACACAGGCTAAGGAAAGAGAAGTTTATCATGAAGGCAAAAACTCTTTGATGGAACATGTGACTTTCAATACAATGAAGCCAATGGTAGGGCCGGTCCTCAAATACACTCTGCCTACTGAATTACAGGAGGCCAACTGTGAAGGAAACCAAGCGAGCAGGATGTTTGGAGCCCACCTTCCCAAAGAGAAAAGGACCCAAGAGCTGCAATACAACCCTATGCCATACAGTTTGGCATGTATGTGGCAAATGTAATGATCACAGAATGTCTGATTAATGACTGGCAATTGTGGGTGTTGGAAATACCCCATCGCCATAGAAACGTACCGTGCATCTTATTGCTTTCGATAAACTCCTCGTCTTCTTTGTTCACGCCTTCTGGGTTGACGGCGTAAGTGTTGATATTTTCATCCAGGTACCAAGACAGGTTTTCGTCAAACACCAAAAAAAGAACATTAAATTGTATCGGCTGTGCAGATGTGGAAAGTAAGGGCACATGCTCCCTGCGACAGACTAGCAGTGTCCCGATTAATCCACTGTAGAGGTCCTGAAAGCAAAAGAAAAAGAAAAAAAAGGATATAATTACCTATCGCCATTACTAAAATAATGGGGATGGGGAAATGGCATCTGATGAAATATTGGCCCATATCGAGTGCTTGGGATGAAGTCTAAGCTTCTGAAAGGCTGGCCAAGGGGCTGCTGGATCCTGCAGATGCCCTTCACAGATGGAGACCCCTGGAAGTCTCCTTCAAGAGGCCTCCGACTTGCAGCAATGGAAAGCTCTGCTGCCACTGTTGCAAGGATTTTTAAAGTACCTGTGGCCCACTCAAATTGTGTCCAAGAATTGACAGACCCAGCAATAGAGAAAGAGAAAGTGGTATTTTATTGCTGAGCAACAATGACCCAGTGGAATGGTTTCCAAAGACTGGGTGCCGAAGCTCTAGCGCCCTTAGGCTTTAAACCTGAGTACATACATCGTAAAACATGACATAATCGTATATAATCGCATATGGCAGCAAAAATCAAAGCAGTGAGCGCATGCATAAACCTTGCCCCTGACCATGTAAAGAATCCTCCCCAACGTCTGCTTTCCATCAGCCTGACCTTTCCCCTGATTTATAGTAAGAAAGGAGAAAAGAGACTTATTTGCCCGTTACAATGTTGGTAACCCTCCTACACACCATCTGTGATAAACGGGGACATTGTGGTTAGCGTTTTCCTGTTTTTAGCTGCTGAGGGGCTTGGCTGGACGGAGGAAGGTGCCAGCACATCAGATTTCTTGCTTCCTACTATGCTGGCGAGCCATTGAAGAACAAGGGGGGAGAAATGGGGCAGAGGTCTTTTTGGACTTCTAAAATCTAAGCATTTAGCTCTGCAGAAGCCTTCATGATTCAAACACCCTTCGTATACATGAATATATAGAAATCATCATAAAGATATATGGTTATATATGGATAGATGATTATATAGAAATGATAAGGGTAAAATTCATCCAGCTGGTCCTGCTTCACCACCACTCCTTAGTCATTGGTGCTGCAGTGGCAGTAAGGCACGGGAAAATCAGGTGAGGCAGGGACAGATTGAGGGAGACCTTGGATCTAAAGCCGTCCCATTTCCCAGACAAGGGCAAAAAATAATAATAAGCCAGTCCTGGCTGATCACCGAAGAATCGATGCTTTTGAATTCTGGTGCTGGAGGAGACTCTTGAGAGTCCCATGGACTGCAAGAAGATCAAACCTATCTATTCTTAGGGAAATCAGCCCTGAGTGCTCACTGGAAGGACAGATCCTGAAGCTGAGGCTCCAATACTTTGGCCACATCATGAGAAGAGAAGACTCCCTAGAAAAGACCCGGATGTTGGGAAAGATGGAGGGCACAAGGAGAAGGGGACGACAGAGGACGAGATGGTTGGACAGTGTTCTCGAAGCTACCAGCATGAGTTTGACCAAACTGCGGGAGGCAGTGGAAGACAGGAGTGCCTGGCGTGCTCTGGTCCATGGGGTCACGAAGAGTAGGACGCGACTAAACGACTAAACAACAACTAGCCAGTCCTGGAGCTGCCATAGTTATTTCCCCTCCCACTGAAACCAATGACAGGAAAAATAAAATCTGGAAACCAGGTACATAAAAGGAAGGGGGAATTTGCCCCACAACCTTCTAACCCTGGTTGTTGCAGGCCTGGCAAGGCTTCAGAAATAGTAGCTCCACCACCATGACTCCTTATTTTTCTGGCCTATGTCGCTATATATTTAAAAGGTTAGATCCAGTTTTAAGTTAGTCACATTTAGGTCCCATTGAGATCAATGAGATTTAAATCATGACTAAATTTTCAGATGGATTTAAATGGGACCTAAGTGTAACTAACCTAGTCTGGATCCAACCCCTTCTATACACATCCATTATAGATGAAAGTTGGCTTGCCACTTCCAAAGTACTTTGAAAATGGATTCTGCCTCTACGTTTTCCTCCCCACCGCTCTTAAAAGCTCTGCTTCCAGAAGAGTTTGAAGAAGAAGAGTTTGGATTTGATATCCCGCTCTATCACTACCCGAAGGGGTCTCAAAGCGGCTAACAATCTCCTTTCCCTTCCTCCCCCACAACAAACACTCTGTGAGGTGAGTGAGGCTGAGAGACTTCAGAGAAGTGTGACTAGCCCAAGGTCACCCAGCAGCTGCATGTGGAGGAGCGGGGAATCGAACCCAGTTCACCAGATTATGAGTCTACCGCTCTTAACCACTACACCCAGATTACATGAGGCCAATCCCATTGTCTCAAGATTTCAACCAAGTCAGATGACTCGTCGTTTAGTAAGGAATGAAGCCAATGTAGGGGGGCTGGTGAAGAAGTGTTCTGTGCCCAGGTAAGGGAACGGATTTGGTAAAGGTAAAGGTACCTCTGCCCGTACAGGCCAGTCGTGACCGACTCTGGGGTTGCGTGCTCATCTCGCTTAAGAGGCCGGGAGCCAGCGCTGTCCGAAGACACTTCCAGGTCACGTGGCCAGCGTGACGAAGCTGCTCTGGCGAGCCAGCACCAGCAAAGCACACGGAAACGCCATTTACCTTCCCGCTATAAAGCGGTCCCTATTTATCTACTTGCACTTAGGGGTGCTTTCGAACTGCTAGGTGGGCAGGAGCTGGGACCGAACGACGGGAGCTCACCCCGCCGCGAGGATTCGAACCGCCAACCTTATGATCAGCAAGTCCTAGGCACTGAGGTTTTGCCCACAGCACCACCCGCGTCCCTAAGAAGTGAAGAAGTGTTCTGTGCCCAGGTAAGGGAACGGATTTGGTAACAGCCATTAAAAACACACCTTAACTTTATCCACAGCTGAGTAATATGCCCAAGGGATACAGTCGGAATCCCCTTCAGCAGGACCAGATCTCTTTGGTATTTTCCAGACATACTCTCTGACTGCACCTGCATGAAACAGATATTTAAAATTGATAAAATCATGCATAGCATGGAGTAATAATAATAATTTATTATTTATACCCCGCCCATCTGGCTGGGTTTCCCCAGCCACTCTGGGCGGCTTCCAACAAAATATTAAATACAATAGACTGTTAAACATTAAAAGCTTCCCTAAACAGGTCTGCCTTCAGATGTCTTCTAAAAGTCTGGTAGTTGTTCTTCTCTTTGACATCTGATGGGAGGGTGTTCCACAGGGCTGGTGCCACTACCGAGAAGGCCCTCTGCCTGGTTCCCTGTAACTTGGCTTCTTGCAGTCAGGGAACCGCCAGAAGGCCCTCGGCGCTGGACCTCAGTGTCCGGGCAGAACGATGGGGGTGGAGAAAGGGGAATAGAGGAAACTTTTTTCTCACTCTCTCATAGCACTAAAACTCATGGGCATCCAATGAAGCTGCCCCTCTGCCCACATTGGCAGGGAAGCCCTGACAGCAAGGAGCACCCCAATGCACCCATCCAAATCGCAAGTGGGTGGAAGCTACTACTGATGGCATCCCCGCTGGCAGATGACAGGCAGAAAGCCCCGAAAAGCAGCATTTCATGGGCAGGGCTGGATCCTGTGCTGACTCTGTTCCCACCATGTGACAAGAATGCGCCTCCTCTAGGCCTATGTAGTGCAGTAGCCTGAAAACTGGTGTAGCACAGGGATGTTTTTTCTGCTCTCCACCTTCTGCCCTGGCTGGTGTGAGCAGTTGGGCTGTGGAGGCAGAACTGCCTGCACTGGTGGCTTAGGGTAAGGGTCAATCCCTGCCACTGGTGGCCTAGCATTGTGTCCTATGATAAGACACTCCAGATAGGCATTCTTGGTGGTTGCACGCCCTTCCCCTTCAGATTCACCAACAGTAAATCGTATCATCTTCCAAACGTTTTTGCAAAAAACTGAACAGGAGGAATTAAGTCCTTGTGAGTTTTCACCAGCTCCACATTCTCTGCTTCTTTTGTCCCTTTTGTTATTATTATCCCCATTCTACAGACCTTGAGGCAAGGAAAACAAGATTTTAAAAAGTGAGAGAAATAACGAATGAGACTATTACCTGAACTGGTTTCAGCTGCTTCCGCAAAGTCAGTTTTCACTCCTTGTGCATGAATAGAATAAGGTCTGGAGGCCATGTTTTTAAAAATAATTGTGATTTTATCCCCAACATTTGCAACGAGTAGTGGACCTTGGAGAGATTAAAAACAAATATGTTCTCTAAGACACAGCATTAAAGGAAATTCCAAAGTGCTTTGGAAAACAAAACTGCAAAGACTGATCAGTGCAAAGGAAACCTACAGGCGCTTAAGGCTCAAATTAAATTGCTAGGGCTCTTAAGCACTTAACAGTGTACTTAAATTCAATTGACTTTAATTATATGTAAGCCGGTTCAATTTTCTCTGGATTAAATCCAGTGTTAAGTCTTAAACTTTATCTACAAGTCATTGATCTGGTTCAAGCATAATGCTAACACACAGTTTAATGCAGTGGTGAGAAACCTGTGGCCCTGCAGATGCAAAGTGCTAATTGTGACATACAGGAGCTTTTGCCTCCTTTCATCCTTACTTGAGACCCACACGGCAAAATTCAGTTCATGCCAATATAACGTTCAATAGCTGTTCTTTCAATTTATAAAGCCAGTACCTAGAATTCCCAGGTGCTCTTTTTCTTCCTTCCTTTCTTTGGCGGTGCTGAATGATTTGTCAGTATATTCTCGATAAACAACCTTCTTGTATTTTGACCCAATGAAATTATCATTTTTATTTAAGAATGGATTCCCTGGGCTGAAGGGGGGGGAAAGTGAAGGATACATTTGAATATAAGTACCAATAAAGTTAAGAGGCACTGGTCAAAAACTCCAGGTATCATTTACGTAACTGCAAAAGTGAAATTGTGTTTTACACAAACACATAGACCATCCATCTTCCATCTTCCATCTTCCAACCAGGTAAGCAAAAGGCATTATCAGAGTTCAAGGACAAATTTCAGTCAGGCAAAAACGCTAAAGGAAAGTGCAAATTCCTGAGGACTCGATAGACAGGCTTCAAAAGGCACCTTTGGTCACTGGGCCTAAGATTCCCCACCCTTGAGTTAAAGGAAGGAACTAATGAGACGCCATTCTGCTTATGGCTGGTTGACATCTCCATGTTATGGTTAGGAAAGTCACACACAGTGTGAGTGTGTGTGAGGTGTCTTGCCCCATGTACTTTGGGGGTTGGCCCCATCCACTGCTGGAAAGTGGGCTGGGACAACTTTCCACTATGCCTGCAAACAAGACTGAAGCTCAGGAGGGAGCAAACACAGGGAAGAGGTGCTCCACGCCTGACTTTCCAAAGGCCCTGTCTACCTGAGAGGTCCCGATCTTGGCCTCCAGCAGGCCTACCTGACCTGTTAAATTGCAGCCACACTATCTCAGTAAGTCATGTCAGAAAAGTCCATAGCTATTCTGGAGCAATAATCCACCTGCCTGTGATGAGAGTTTAACCAGAGACTGGTAGAGATAAGTGCCTGCAGCCCCATGCTTAAAAGCAAGGGTTGTGTTGCATGAGTCATCTCATGCCTTGCGAGGTTTAGCAGATCTTACAACTCCAACCATTTCTGACCACTGGCCATGTATCTGAGTTGTATCCAATTGGAGAAGGCTGCTTTACAGAATGGCAGACCTTATCAGCAAAAGAGTGGGTGGAAACTTAAATAGAGGAATAAAGGTAAACTTAAAATCCTGTTGCATCTTAAGTGCTTTGGTATTGTAAGACCCTAGGTTTTGAGTCAACAATGACCATTCCTACACTCTGCGAATCTTTGTGTTAATCAAAGGGTTTGTCTGTCCTCCAAGATGATATGGAAATGCTTTGTGCCAGTCCTAATTATTTTTTGCACTCTATATAAAAAAGAAACTCATCCCTTGTGCATTCATAAAATAATCCACACAGGGGAGCCGGAAGCAGGGAAAAAATGCTCCCTATGAAATCTGCTGCATGAAATGCATAATTCATAGTAGCATCAGCAACACAAGTAGATAAATAGGTACCACTGCAGTGGGAAGGTAAACAGCATTTCCTTGCGCTCTAGTATCACCACTAGTGATACTAGACACCACCTAATTATTGTTTGCCATACATTCATTACATTTTACATTTAAATATGGGAGAGAAGCATTGTTTTATTTTTCCCACCATTCCTCCAAAGAGCTTAAGGATAGCTATGTGGTCCCCTGCCCCATCCTTGCACATTTAATTCTCACAACAAATTTGTGAGGTAGGTTAGGCTAATAGCTGGTGACTAGGCTGGTGAGGATTTTGACTTGGGTCTCACCAGGCCTAGTCCAACCACTTGGGATCCATGTATCCATGCCTGCTACAAAAGGATGGAAAGGAAAAGTGAGCGACCTCAGATATGCTTGTCTAGGAATTTATTGTTTGATCTGGCCTTACCTTTCATCATGGAAGTGATGCCTCTCCTGCTCCCAGGTCCTGCTGGGGGAATAGTCCCATTCTATTTCTACTGCTGCAATGTAATAGGTCTTTTCATGGGTATATACCTCATTATCCTCTGGTGATGAAGCACACTTCCTCACTTCATAGTTTTGTCTCATACCCCCTGTGAAATGATCCGTAGTCATGCAGGCCACTTCAAATACCCCTGGAGAAACAAAGAGAGGAAGCAGACAAATGAATCCAAACCAAGCACACCTAGGAAATATGATGGCCCGGCCTGCGTTACAAGAATTAATGTAATGGAGGAGCCTCGTTAGGCTATGTACACATCAAGCATTTGAAAAAGCAAAGGATCCTGGAAACCCTTCAGAGCTACAGTCCCTAACACCCTTAGCAAACTATAGTCTCTTGCAGCAAAAACAACAAAGTGTATTGTGGCGTGTTGAAGACTAAAACACTTATTATGGTATCAGCTTTCCAGAAGTGGGTGTCAGCTTACTTCTTCAAATGAATGAAGTGTTATCCTGAGCTGCAGAGATGTGTAACATATAAATTGGTCAAGATGAAGAAGCAGGTCGAGTGGAATATTTTTCAATGTAACACACTGAGGATTCAGATGCAAGTACAATTTTAAAAAATAAATAAAAATAAACCAGCTATCTTTTTGTCCCAAGCAAAGGGTAGGGGTCAGCAAACTTTTTCAGCAGGGGGCCGGTCCACTGTCCCTCAGACCTTGTGGGGGACCAGACTATATTTTGAAAGGGGGGGGGGAAATGAACGAATTCCTATGCCCCACAAATAACCCAGAGATGCATTTTTTAAAAAAGCACACATTCTACTCATGTAAAAACACGAGGCAGGCCCCACAAATAACCCAGAGATGCATTTTAAATAAAAGGACACATTCCAATCATGTAAAAACACACTGATTCCCAAACCGTCCGTGGGCCGGATTTAGAAGGTGATTGGGATGGATCCGGCCCCCGGGCCTTAGTTTGCCTACCCATGTTTGCCTACTCAGCAGAAAAGAGAAGGACGAGAATACTATTTACTCATTACGCAATTGAAGGTTCTCAAGAGAAGGATACAAGAGAGAAAAACCAACTCCAAACATGCTCCACTAATTCTTAGCATTTCCAACAGGAGTGCACACTAGACCACCTCCTAGACTTGAGCTAGAGCAGGGGTTTTCTAAGCTTTTTACATATATGGCCAACTTGAGAAGGCTGAAAATTACCAAGGCCCGCCAGTCACAAAATAGTGGTGCAGGGGTAGAGCCAACTACAAAATAGTGTCAGAGGGAGGCAGAGTTTTGCATAATCAGCTAGCAGTTACTGGTATAATTTTTCATTGATATCTAACCTCGCTTTGGAAATTGCTCAACTCTGCCACAGAAATTTCATTGGGGTGAGAGTTCCATAATTAAGTTTTCTTCAAACTAAGTACAGGACTAAGGAGAGATGGCGACTCGGTTTCCCCCTTTTAGAAATAATTTGCTGGTCCAGAGACTGTAAACTGAGAAGTTCATATAACCAAATGTATGGTTTAAAATTAGTAAGTACAATTGTCGTTATTCACCTTCTGAGTCAAGCTTCATAAGAGCTGTGAGAGAGCTATGTGGAAAGAGATTAGCTGTACCCTTTCTTCCTCCTTTAGTCAAAAAGGTATTTCCTGAAAAATGTATTCCATGAATGTCAACCTCTGAACCCAAGCCAATCAAATGCCACGAAACGGTGTCTCCACTACACATCTCAAGGCCTTCCTGGCTTCCATACATGTATCCATTTAAGGCTGCAAAAGAAAGGTGCAAATTGATGCTTAAACACATTCAGGTTCAAAATCCCACAACTAACATAATATAGTTCAATAGCAAAAAGGAAAGATGCATATTATGTGCTTACAGTTTTTGCAAATTAAACAAGCCATCATCTTTCATCTATTTGAAATATTTAATAACACATGCAATCCAATCCTATGTATCTTTATTCAGACATAAATTGCACTCTGCTAATAGGGCTTACATCTAATTAAACATGCATCTATACAGATATTTGCTGTCTTATCTGGATTCTGCTCCAAGTCACACAGGAGTGAATAATAGAATCTTAGGGTTGGATTCAGCTAAGTCCTACTCAGACTCACTGGAATTAATGAATCTAACAACGTAAGGAAAGCCAGTTGAATCAGGTCAATTGCCCATCTGGTCCAGCATCATGTTCCACAGTGGCCACAGGAAACCCATAAGCAGGATCTGACCACAATAGCATTCTTCCTTCCTGGGGTTTCCAGCAACTAGTATTCAGAAGTGTTGCTTCCTCTGACTGCAGCCATCATTGCTAATATTCACTGAAAGCTCTCTGCTCTGTGAATTTGCCTAATCCTCTGTTAAAGCCATCCAAGTTGGTGACCATCGCTGCTTCCTGTGGGAGTGTGTGCCATAGTTTATGTGCTGCATGAATAATTATTTCATAGAATCATAGAATCATAGACTCATAGAATCACAGAGTTGGAATAGACCAGAAAGGCCATCGAGTCCAACCCCCTGCCAAGCAGGAAACACCATCAGAGCACTCCTGACATATGGTTGTCAAGCCTCTGCTTAAAGACCTCCAAAGAAGGAGACTCCACCACACTCCTTGGCAGCAAATTCCACTGTCGAACAGCTCTTACTGTCAGGAAGTTCTTCCTAATGTTTAGGTGGAATCTTCTTTCTTGTAGTTTGGATCCATTGCTCCGTGTCCGCTTCTCTGGAGCAAAAGCAACTAGTATTCATTTCATGGAACAGTGGCTTCTTGATTGAAAGCACCCAAGTCTCCAAAACTGTTTATCCTATTGCCCAAGGAACGAGAGAATGATAGACTGCAATCTCATTCCCCGTTACTCGCTGAGAAACACAGAGCAATTCTAACTATAGAAATTCTAACTAAACTCCTTTCAGGAGGAACTTGACCCCACACTTTTTGCTGGTTAAGTTCCTGGTGGCTGTATCATGCGACTGAGGACAAGGAAGTTTGGAATAAGTCTCTCCTTGTTCCACTTCTGCCATGCTCCCAGAATGCCTGTTTTGGGGGCTTGCACCTATGTAAGTTCCAATGGCTTACGTTCCATGGGCTGATCCCCAGATGCAGGGCTGGGCCGCAGCTGCCTTGGGTGGCAGAACCTCAGTGGTGAACACCCCCAGCCACCACTGCTGGAAAAGCAAGGAGAAGGGGCTGCAGCATTGGCTTCTGGGTACTGGTGGGATCTTGCCAGAAACTGGAAGCCATTGCCACATCTCATGGGGGGAGGGGGCACTGCCAGAACCTGGAAACTGTACAACCCCCGTTAGTGAGGCGGGCGGTGGCAGCAGCTGGGGAAGGCGGCACTTTACCATTTTTTTGCCTCAGGCGGCAAAATGGGACAGGCCGCCCCTGCCCATCTGAGCCAGGGTGAGAGACCTTCCCCAGAGACCTTCTCTGAATAAGTGTTTGTTTGGGAAGGTGATGGGGGGGGGGAGATGGGGTAAAGATTTTGCCTTCATCATTTCAATAAACAAAACAAAACGGTAAACTTACAATGCATCTTGTTGGATTCCTGGAAATCTTCATCCTCCTTATTAATCTGCGTAGGATTTCCTACAGATAGCGCAATATTGTCATCCAGATACCAGCTCAGATTCTCATCGAATACTGTGGCGAGGAGGAAAAACTCCTTGTCTACATTTTTCTGTGGAAAAGAGCAAGTGTAAAAGTGTGGGGGTGGGGACACATGTGGGAAAACGCTATTAAACTGGCTGGGGCTAGCTACAGTGGTACCTCGGGTTAAGAACTTAATTCGTTCCAGAGGTCCGTTCTTTAACCTGAAACTGTTCTTAACCTGAAGCACCACTTTAGCTAATGAGGCCTCCTGCTGCTGCCATGCCGCCGGAGCACGATTTCTGTTCTCATCCTGAAGCGAAGTTCTTAACCCAAGGTACTATTTCTGGGTTAGTGGAGTCTGTAACCTGAAGCGTCTGTAACCCGAGGTACCACTGTATCTGTAAAACTACGTGCAACTCCTTATCCAACTAATGAAACATCCTTACAAACGCTTTCAGGTTCTGGGGTGCTCTTTTTCAAATCACCCAGCAAATGACTTCCTATGCTGCTGGAGATTAGAAAGTCAGGGCTCGCCCACACTTCTTGCCACCTTCCCTCAGGAAAACTCACTGTTTACCGCTGAACTGGAGCAAACATCAACTGAGTCTTCTATGTAAAGGAGACAACTCCTAGGGGCTGAGGTCTCTTTGCCCCCCCCCCAATAAAATATTTGAGGAGGCAGACCCCCCCTAAGTTGATGAGCATTGTCATTCAAATGGTGTGCGTGTGTCACATCTTGTGATCTATTGGGGAGGGGGCTTATCTGGGAGCCCCCAATATTTTATCTAAGTTGGCATCCCTGATGTTTGCTCCAACTTAGCACTAAAAAAAAAAAAAAGGTTTTCTGGAGGATAGCAGTGGGGCAAAGGCCATAGCTGTCAACGTTTCCCTTTTTTAAAGGGAAATTCCCTTATTCCGAATGGGATTCCTCACAAGAAAAGGGAAAAGTTGACAGCTATGGCAGAGGCAATGAGTCAGTGTGGTGCCCACAGGCACCAGTGTGCCCCCAGTATGGCAGCCAAGAAAAATCTAAGTAAGTATCTTCTCAAAAATCCCTGCTCACCTCCTTTTTTCAGTGACTCAGTCTCTACTACATTGAACGCATCCCCTTAAAAATGACCACACCTCATTCGATGCCAGAATTTGACACCAACCCTCTCTTCTGCTCCTCTGTTCAGAACAGAAGCACTTCTATCTGTGAGGGTGGATGGTGGAGGCTGATGTAGTTGGGGTGGGGACCATTTTGCCCACACCATTTTTTCTTTAAGATGTGGCAGCCATTATACTATGCCTCTGAAGCAGCCATTTTGTGACCAACACTCACCAGAGTTTCTCAAAATCCCTGATGTGTGGCTGGCATCAAAAAGCTCAGTGATGCAAAGAGGAGGATTTCAATTCTTCCTGCATTACCTGTTTCCCTGAAGGAAGCAGTGATCCTTTCCTGCACACCAAGAATGGGCCCACTAGGCCAGAGCTGGTGTCCTTGATTGAATCCGATGCTGAATAATAAATCCAAGTAAGGCAATCTGGATCGTCCGGAGTAGGACCCACAGTTTCAGGAACCTCCCACTCATAAGTGAATTTCTCTCCAGGATTCACATGCGAGGATGGGCTTGCAGGTCCTACATTAAGTTCATCATCAAGAAAGAAATGCCCCTAAGTAGTTGTATCATGGGAAGCATGTTAAGAAAGTTGGTTTACCTTCTCCAATGGATGCAACGTGAGATTTACATCATTCCCTTAACATATATACTCACCTCCAGAGATGGTGTTGTAGAAGGCACCCTCATTGTCTTTGTTGTAGCTCAGCCCATGCGGCTGAATGCTGAAAGGGTGTGTTGCCCTGTTTAGAAAGGTCACCTGGATGGTCTCACCAACTTCTGCCCTCATGACAGGTCCTAGTTAAAAATCGCACAAACCCAACAACACAAATTAAAACTATTATATCTGAATCACGGTTGCGGCTCAAACACACTTGCCTCTTAGCAAAAGCACTTGAATAAGGTGTGGTACAAAGTTTGGATGGAGAAGGGTCCCAAGCGTCAGCTGGCAAGCTGCTCTCATGAAACATCTTGATGGGAGTGGTCAGGCGGGAAGGAAGAGGTCAAGGAACTGCAGGAATCTGACCCATGGGAGGAGCCCAATGGAGTGAGAGGTGATCAACAGGACCTGGTGGAGGACTTTGGCCCCAGGGAGAGGTCCAGCAGATCGGGAGGTGGTGACCTAGACCCGGGAGAAGGGCCAAATGGGTTGTCAGGAAAAAGGCCTGCCTCAATGTCATTGGATGGGGTATCCCAGCCAATCAGTGTGCTGCCCCTGGCAGCGCTCTCTGACAACATAGATCTACTGTCCTCAGGGGAGGCATAGAGGGATAAACCTGACCGTGAGTCAGCCCTATCGTCTCTACCTCCATCACCAAAAATGCAGAAGTGACTGCACTGGTGTGACTCATCATACCCAGCCTACTTGCTTTCCCAGAGTGGAAAAACACTATAGATAAGTCAGAACTTAGATCGCAGCTGCTCAGTGAGAAACAGAAACTAACAGTAACCAGTAACCCTATTTACATTTGGGTGCTGTAGAGAATTTAGCAATAAAACTTTTAATGCTAACAACTGACTGAAGAGCCCGAGCACAGGGTCTGCTGGTGGGGGCCACGACAGTGGCAGTTTGACTCTGGGCATGATGTTCCCCACTCCTGCTTTAAAGGACTGTTTTGGTTTCTTTAGTGTGAAGTCTCAGGCTCCCATCCACAGTCACTTTGGGTAAAACCACAATGCCAGACCTCTTTGCAGTAATCAGACACCAAACTAGTGACACCACTGCCTTTACCTCTCAAAAGGTGTATTGTCTTCAGCCTTGAAAGACTCAGCCTAGGAAACTGAAAATCTCCTCTGCTTTTGATTGCCAGAAGCTAAAAACAGCCTTACCTAAAAGCCCAAGATGTTCTTCACTAGGGAGCCTCTTCCGGCGCTGTGAAAATTCACTGCTGGTATACTCAACGAAAAGAGCTTTTTTGTAAGATCCACCAATCCTTTGTTCACTTTTTTCAAAAAATGTCTTGGACTCCCTGTGCAGCAACACAAATTATTTTCAAGAGCTGCATTCAGTTAACGGCAAAGAGAAAGACATTCTGCATCATACTAAAATTGTTCAGTCCTCATCTCATTCTAATTTCTTCTGTTGCTTGGCTTTGAGTGGCGTAACTTGGAATCAAAGTGATTTGGATGGTAGGACTCCACCTGGAGGCCCAAATGGTCAGTCTTACTGGCAGCATGGAAGAGCTACAATGAAGGGATTTTAAAGGAGCAAAAGGTAACAACATTTGCTTCCACACTGGGAATTTGCTATGGACTAGCCACACTTCCATTCACTGACTCTTTACACGACATTCTGAACAACTTTTTTAAAAAAAATCAATGGAATAGCTGCACAATTTCCCCAGGTGTAGATGTCCTCTTGTACTGCTGTTCCGGTTAGTCATGACCTGTGTAGATTCCTCTATTTCCTAGATTGCTGGTGACATTCCCTTCCCTGTCTCTCCTCTCTAGGAATCAATTCTATCACATTAACCTTCCTCTTTCCAAATCGCATCACCTTTGCAGTCAACGGCCTCAACTGTGCCAGCAAAGAAGGAGAAGACTGACCAAACTCTCACATTCCGTACCCTCCAACATGTCCAGGCCTAAAGCCAGGATGTGCGTCTTCTGGGTCACGTGACCCGCAAGAAAGCACAGAGCTCAAAAAACAGAGTGTCCCGATTTAATTGGGAAGCTTGAGAGGCTCAGTGGTTTAGACCATAGCGCCATCCGTGTCCCTGAGGCAACTGATATGCACAAGGCAAAGGGTAGGGCCAGGGCAGGGACCCCTCTTACATTAATAGGCCTCCCCATAGGTGCAGTAATGGGAACCCAAGAACAGCTGGGAGCTGCCATTTTAATTTCCCTCAGTACCACAGAGTGCCTAATGTAGTGTCTGTCAGTATATGGAAACATCAAAGCTGCAGACAGCCAAATTGTTGACATCACATGATGTGCCTATCTGTGGGAAAGAAGAATTTCCCCGGACGTTCACAAGCTGGATAAGTCTTTGTGAAGAGTGTAATCTGAAACCTTCTGTGTGCGCATGTTCAGGAAGTTTGTCAGACGTGCTAGAAGAACTGAACTGAAAGGACGTGTTTTTCTCTAGTGCTGTAATGTCAGAAATAAACATCATGTAAATAGATTTCTGACTTATTTATTTTTCCCCTGCGGAAGCAGGAGGGAGGGGTTGTGCATTTTGCCCATGCTTGGGAAAATGTCGCCTATCAAAATCTCCCTGGTCTGTTTGGGTATCAGCCAGAGGAGGTTACCGGTAAGCAAACTCCGAGGACAGTGAGAGGGGCCAGCCTCTGTGGAGGGGGCTTGCAAACCAACAGTGTCATGCCTTGTAGGTAATTGAAGCTCACAAGCCTAGCTGCTCAATGTTGAGAACCCAAGGTAAGTATAAGCCCTGGTGGGTCCTTTGGGGGCACTGGATCCCCAGCAGCTGCCCTAGGAAGCCAGGGGCTGGTACCAGACCAGGGCCACATCTTCTTGTGCAGACTTGGCTCTATACTTCCCTCCCTGCTAAAAAAATTCTGAACATACGAACAAAGGAAAGGCACTGCTGAACTGGACTGCTCCACACACCCCTCCTAGACAGCTGCTTACTAAGATGGAACAGCTCTGCTGGTGAGTGCATTGGAAGCACACATTTTTTTCATGCACTCATCTGGCTCCTGTTTGCTTGATAGCTTAAAAGGCAATACGTACTCATCCAGAATTAATGGTTCCCCTGTGAAGTTATTTATTCCAGATGGGCCATAGTTCCACACATGTTCCTCTGCTGCAATGTAATAGTGCCTTGCTATAGTGCTCTTCTTGGGAGAGGGGATATGGCCATTACAGTTTTTCACCTCAAAAATGGCCTGCATGCCGCCTGAAGAAAAGAAAGACAGAACACATGGCGTTAGGATACTTCAAATTCTGGGAATCTCTGCAAACAGATTAAAGACTCTTTAAAGTTAAAGGTTTGCTTCAATAAGCCCCAGGTCCATATCTCCTCATGAAGAATCACCTTAACATGAAGCACTGCAAAAGCTATGAGCATTCACTTGCTTGTGTTGATCAGCAAGAATCTACAGCAGCTTTCTACAACCTGGTGGTCTCCAGATTTTTTTGACTACAACTCCCAACATCCCCAGGAAGCAGCTGTGCTGGCTTGGACTAATGGGAGACGTAATCAAAAACATCTGGGGGCCACAAGATTGGAGAAGGCTGTCTTTCATGATTTATCAGAACCTTATAAATTTATTCAGTATATCTGAGCAGCTCAGTTAAGCAAATTTGTTAGAGAAAGTGAAATGAATTGCTCCCTAGTGCAGACTTGTTTTCTCCTGTTCAGTTCCCCCTGAAAACAATGAAATATCATCAAGGCCCATCACTCTCAAGGGGACTTCCTGTATTGAATTCAAAGCATGCAGCGACAAAGAGCCCCATTTGTGGAGCTTCCCCTGCCAGCTGTTCCAGGCTCTGGGCAGCTGTATTGCCTGTTTTTTTCAAGAGGTTTAAAAGCCAGGAATACCTTTTACAGGAACAGAGGCAGCAACCTTGTAAAGGATTCTGCGGAGCTGTGGATTCTGTAGACCCCTGATCCAACCCAGGTCATGGTCTGCCCAGATCTGATTATTTGCAATTTGAGTTTGATGAATTCCTTCCCAATCCCCAACCAAACCCACTGCTGGCATGTGGGCCCCAGTGGGTTGGTCAAGGATGAAGCTGGTGCTTTGGACAAAAAAGGGAGCCACCCCAGATTTACAGGTGTGGGAAAACTTTGGGCTTCCAGATGTTGCTGAACTACAATGCACACCAGCTCTAGCAAGCATGGCTAATGCCCAGGGATAATGGGAGCCTGTAGTTCAGCAACATCTGGAAGGCCAGAGGTTCTCCAACCCTGATCTAAAGTCTCTGTCCTTTTGCCTGTCTCAATCTTATTACTTTCTTAAGGACTGAACCCTATGCTGTGAACTCTAGGCTTCAAGAGAACACACCATTCAGAACCTTGAAAATATTTATAATTCTTTGGTATGCAAAAAGAAACCCTTGGTTTGTACCTTCTATGTGATCATTGACTTGACAGCTAAGCAGCCACTGCCCATCGTTCTTTGGCACCATGAGAGCATCCACGAAGGTAGCCGGGAAGAGGCTGATCGTGTCAATTCGATGGTTCCTTTCTGTCAAGACTTGCCCATGGAAATAGGCTGAATGGATATCGGCTTCGTTACCCATTCCAAAAAGATACCACTTCACATTTTCTTCCGCACACATTGTGACATTGGGAAGATACCCATACATATATCCATTGATTGCTTTAAAAGAAAAAAGTTAAAAGATTATTTCAAACTACCATAAGGTAGAGGGACCCAGTCGTGGCTGACTCTGGGGTTGCGGCGCTCATCTCGCTTTACTGGCCAAGGGAGCCAGCGTACAGCTTCCAGGTCATGTGGCAAACATGACTAAGCCGCTTCTGGCGAAGCAGAGCAGCTCACGGAAATGCTGTTTACCTTCCCGCCGGAGCGATACCTATTTATCTACTTGCACTTTGATGTGCTTTCGAACTGCTAGGTTGGCAGGAGCAAGGACTGAGCAACAGGAGCTCATCCCATCACAGGGATTCAAACCGCCAACCTTCTGATCAGCAAGCCCTAGGCTCTGTGGTTTAACCCACAACACCACCTGCGTCCCTCAAACTACCATGGTGCCCCCACAAAAACAGAGTACATTCAAATTAATATGTTAGCAATATCTATTTACGGATTGCAGCAGCACAAATTGAATTGAACCAGCGAAAGTTAATTGACCAAAGGCCTTTTTAAAAAGCCAGGTCTTCAATAACTGCCTGAAGAAGCATTGCGATGGGGGCCTCACTTAGCAAAGCCCTACCCCTGGTTGACACCATCCTCACCTCCTGAGACTGATGGTTTTGGAACAAATAGGCCATTCCAAAAGTATCCAGGTCTCAAACCATTCATGGCTTTAAAGGTTAACACCAGCATCTTGGATTGAGCCCAAAAAAACCTATCGCCATCAATCATGATGAGGTAGAATCAACAAAACTCTACCTCTGAAACAGGCTTTCTTTTTGCAGAACCCACTTGAAATCTAGAACATTGATGCCGTAGATTTCACTTAATTGATTATTATACCCAGGCATGACATCAGAAGTTGGTGTTGTTGCACACCTGCCAATAGCTCAGTGGGTCCATCACCAATCGGCCCTTGCCGGACTGGGTTTGTTAGTGGAAACTTGCAAGAGACCCATTGAATTTTGATGCCCACTCTGTATCTTGTACTTGTTTTTAGAATCTTCAGAGTGACTAACTTGGGGCATTTAAGCAGTCTGCCATTCAGCTACTGATCAGCTACTTAGCTTCTAAACAGGTGCCATTTAAAAAAACAACAACAACGTAATCTAGAGTAACATATACACCATATAGATATTTGTGTGGAGCAATATAAAAGCGATTCACTATGGCAGAAACATCTATGTTCAGGGAGAGTATATCTCTTGACTGCCTGCTGCTGTGGATAACTTTCAATGTCTTGCCTAAGTTGTGAATATCTATGGAATTTACTTATAATGTTATACGCACATATACATGTTGCAAAGAAGGTTCTTAAAAGAATGAAACAACTTGTTCTGAAAGGTAATCTTACAGTGCATTTTGTTGCTCTCTTGGAAGGCCTCATTCCTGTCAACTTTGTCAGGTTCAGAGCAGTATTTCTTGATATTATCATTTAAGTACCAGCTGAAGTTTTCGTCTACCACAGAAAACATCAGGACAAATTCTCGGTCGACATCCTTATCTTTTCCACCCTGCAGTGTACCTAAGGAAAACAAAGGACACATTGTGGACATTTACCTGCTGTAATTATTGTCTCCCAGCTATTTGTTACCAGAAAAATGCCCACCAGTGGTGTATGATGGAGAGGCCAATCCATTTTCTGCTAAAGTGTCTGAAAATGTAACTCTTTTGTTTTTCTCCATGTGCATGAATAGTGGGCATTCACTCAGGTGGGAAAATGCCAAGAGAGACATTTGAGGTTATTTATTTGAAATACTTTACAGTAAACCCTTCAATGTGAAATAAAAATGTTCAAGGCAGCTAAAACACACACACACACACACAGAGAGAGAGAGAGAGAGAGAGAGAGAGAGAGAGAGAGAGAGAGAGAGAGAGAACCATGTGAAAGATCATGGCTAAAACAGCAACACACCCTAAGTGGATCAGCAACATCAAACAAATCTAAAATCACAAAACTACAACCTGAGGCCATCAAATGAACTGGAATGGTGGTGGAACTAGATGGGCCTTTCTGATCAAATAAGGCTGTTTTCAAGTTCTGAGATGCAGCCTTCTGTTGTTCGATGTGATGTTGCTATTGAAAAGGAATTTCCCTGGTGGTCACCCACTCTCTTTATCTAAAGGTCTCCAAAGACAATCTCAACATTTGGGCAAGTTCACATGGGAGTGATGATCCTTTAGATTCCCAGATCCTAAGCTTGAAAGGTCTTGAAAGGATTAAACCAAGACCTTTGAACTGTGATCAGAAACAGACCAGCAGACAGTACAGAGCAGACCAGCAGTCAGCTGTTTAAGAACTGGTGGGATGTGTTTTAGGGTTGCCATATTTTGGAGAGCAAAAAAGAGGACACTGTGACGACCATTCAAAGCAAATAAATGCAATGTGTCCCAATTTTTATTGCTGAAAAAGAGGACACATGGCAACCCTAATGCGTTTGCTGGTCAACGATCTAGGAGTGTTGTTGTTGTTGTTTTAACCAATTAAAGTTTCCTAATAGTTCAAATAATCTCTAAAGACAACTCCTCATGCAGTGCATAGCAGCTGAGTCATCTGGAGGTTCCTACAGTATGAATAACAGTGGTCAGTCTACTGCTATCCAGGACAGTTATGTTGGGTGCAACAGCTGATGAAATGTTTAGAAACCACACACAAACACACACAACAGATATGGAGGAACTATCAGAGAATGGAAGATGACAAACAAACACACACACACACACACACACACACACACACACACACTTCAATTGTGAGAAAGAGCCTTGTGTAAGATGTTTGTGTGTTTGAAGAGCCATAAGAAGAAGCAGTTTGGGGACAGAGAGAAAGAGAGGCAGGAAGAAACAGAATTGGTTGATGGCTATAGAAACATCAGAGGATGCAGGGTGACTCAGTCTGCAGATCTGATGTGAAGCAGTGGGTTCCACTTGGCAGGAACACACATCCGGTTTGCTTCCGCCTACTCTCTGCTTGTATATTCATAAATAAAGCCATGACCTTCCAGTGCTCTCTCCTTCAAAGGAAACCCAAACCTGTGTTGTATTTGCTCCTTGAAACTACTCACCTCTCAGAGAAATGAGGAGCACATGTGACTCACACAGATAAACTTCAGCTAAAATCTCAGGAACACAACTCATGAACTGCAAACAGATAAGATTCTCTGACTCATTTCTTGGGGGGGGGGAAACTCGGTCGTTTTCCATATTTCCCTTACCTTTCTTGCAAATGAGCAGAGGTCCAACGAGCCCAGAAGCAACATCCTTTGGGGCATCTATATGTGAGTGATAAATTCTGGTCACACAGTTATTATCACCTGCTGCTGGACCATGATCTTCAGTTACCTCCCATCTATACACATACTGTTCTCCTGGTTGCACGGCATCATCTTTCTTTTGCAAACCTGAGGTGTTGTCAGGATATAATGCACCTAGGAAATGCAACAAATAGTGAACGTGGTATTATATATCATAGTACTGGTACAAGTGCCTCTGTGTCTGGGGCAACTATCTACCAGCTCCATCGGGTAAGCCGCCTGAGACCCTACCTGCCCGCAGACTGTTTCACCAGAGTGGTGCATGCTCTGGTTATCTCCTGCTTGGACTACTGAAATGCGCTCTACGTGGGGCTACCTTTGAAGGTGACCCGGAAACTACAATTAATTCAGAATGTGGCAGTTAGACTGGTGACTAGGAGTGGCCGGTGAGACCATATAACACTGGTCCTGAAAGACCTACATTGGCTCCCAGTACATTTCCGAGCACAATTAAAAGTGTTGGTGCAGACCTTTAAAGCCACTTCACTAATATATGCAGTTTGTGTCCACTTGCCCCTAATATATGCCTGTTTGCGCACATTTCTTGGTTGCAGAATTGTATTGCAAAATAATAATAATATAATAAGAATTTATTATTTATACCCCACCCATCTGGCTGGGTTTCTCCAGCCACTCTGGGCAGCTTCCAGCAGAATATTAAAAACGTGATAAAACATCAAACATTAAAAACTTCCCTAAACAGGGCTGCCTTCAGATGTCTTCTAAAAGTCAGATAGTTGTTTATTTCCTTGACATCTGATGGGAGGGCATTCCACAGGGCGGGCACCACTACTGAGAAGGCCTTCTGCCTGGTTCCCTGTAACCTCACTTCTCGCAGTGAGGGAACCGCCAGAAGGCCCTCAGAGCTGGACCTCAGTGTCAGGGCTGAATGATGGGGATGGAGACGCTCCTTCAGGTATGCTGGGCCAAGGCCATTTAGGGCTTTCAAGGTCAGCATCAACATTTGAATTGTGCTCAGAAATGTACTGGGAGCAGAGAAGCATGAATTTTGAAGGACAGCTGCCCCTCAGTTCACATACAGAGTTGTAGCCAATTAAGTTCAACCAGTTGCAAGTATTGGACCTAAGGTAGTCATGTCCATTAATTTTGGTGGGTCTCCTCTGAGTATGACTATCATTGGGCACAATCCATTAGCTAGGGGAAATGCAGTTTAGGACTCATTCACATTTCCTTTTGTGCCATGTTTCTAGACACAGGTTCAGATTTGACACAACTACTCTATTCCCAACTTAAAAATGGAAATCGTAATGCTGGTGGTCAACAAAAAGGGATTAAAGACTGTCTCAAGGCAAATCTTTAAAAATGTAGTTTAAACACTGACAACTGGCCTGCGAGTGCTCCAGTTGGAGAACAGCCTTCATCAAAGGTGTCATGGACTTTGAAGACACTCGAACTCAGGACGCAAGGGAGAAACGTGCTAAGAGGAAGGCATGCTTGGCAAATCCACACCTTGATCAACTCCCGCCAGGAAACGAATGTCCTCACTGTGGAAGGACGTGTGGATCCAGAATTAGTTTCCACAGTCACTTATGGACTCATTGTTAAAACTGTGCTTATGGAAGACAATCTTACTTGGCTACGAGTGATTGTCAAAGAAGAAGACAGATTTGAGTGGTGGGGTTTTTTTGTCCTATCGCTTTGCCTGGGAAAACAAACATTTTACTGCTGAATTGGAACAAACAGCAATTGGGTTTTCTGCAGATTGGCATTCGCTCTGATTCAGGGGTATAATCTGGGTTTCCCTGGGGAAAGCTCTGGAGGGGGGAAAACTGCTCAGACACAGACTTGGGAAACTCAGAATTTTTCCTAGAAAGCACAGAGCAAAGTTAAGTGTGGCTGAGCAGGTTGGGATTAAAATGTGAAGCAAACGAATTTCTCCAGCATCTCAAAATTGAAGGTATGGGGGGGGCAGATTTCCTAGTTGCAGAAAAAGAACCCTACACCCATAGGTACGGTAAAAGGTAAAGGACCCCTGGACAGTTAAGTCCAGTCAAAGACAACTATAGGGTTGCGGCGCTCTTCTTGCTTTCAGGCCGAGGGAGCCGGCTTTTGTTTACAGTCAGCTTTCCTGGTCATGTGTCCAGCATGACTAAACCACTACTGGTGCACAGAGGACTGTGATGGAAACCAGAGTGAATGGAAACACCGTTTACCTTCCCGCCACAGCAGTACCTATTTATCTACTTGCATTGGCAGGCTTTCAAACTGCTGGGCTGGCAGGAGCTGGGACAGAGCAACGGGAGCTCACCCTGTCGCGGGGATTTGAACAGCTGAACTTCTCATCAGCAAGCCCAAGAGGCTCAGTGGTTTAGACCACAGCGCTACCCACATCCTATCCTACACCCATAGGGTTGTATGTCTGTGGGGAGTTGGATCGAGTCAGACATTAATATCAGCACAAAAATGTCAGAGGTGCAGCTGCCCCCTCAGTCTTGCCAACTATACTAGATTTGTCCAGTTGATTTACACAGTCAGTTGGCTACCCTGACTGTTCCTCACAGCACTGGGTGGGCGTCTACAGGCATAAGGATGCAATTCTGTTGCAAAACAGGAAAGGTATGGAATCAGTTGGTATTCCTGAAGACTGTTGAAACACGAATGGAAGTTTACCTTCGTTTTCTTTTGTGTATTTGACACCATGGGGGTGGAGTGTGTAGGCCCTTGTCGCAAAATTCTTTACATGGATGATGAGTGTGTCTCCAACTTCTGCTTTAAGAATGGGACCCAGGAAGCCCAGCCAAGGCGGTTTTGCAATAATATGGCTGTATGAGTTGTCTGTGAACTGCATGTACACAGCTTTTTTGTATGTGCTTCCTATCCGGTCTGGGCCTTGTTGGAGAAAGACAGCAGCTTGCCTAAAGGATCAACACACAATCATGTCAGCGTAAGTCCTTTAAAAAAGTCCTTTAAAAAAAATACTGGGTACACTGGGATAGCTCAGTCAGTAGAATATGAGGCTCTTAATCTCAGGGTTGTGGGGGTTTGCCCCACATTGGGCAAAAGATCCCTGCATTTCAGGGGGTCGTCCCCTCCACCTCTACAATTCTGTGGCCCTATGATTATTGCTTCTGCACAGCATACATTTTGTCTCAAATTAACTAATATGATCATTCCTTCTATTTCCGAAGTTTGGAGGCAAGTGCCATTGCTTACACAGACAAAATGGCGTCATCCATGCACAAGAGGGAGATGTCATCTGGCTTGAGTAAATCCCAAGATTTACAGAGGTACAAGATGTTAGAAACAGCTAATTATATCAATAAATAATGATAATTAGAGCACCAGTCCTGGCCTGACTGCACTGGCTGCCAATTGGTTTCCGGGCCCAATTCGACGTGATGATTTTGACCTATAAAGCCTTAAATGGCTCAGGACCGCAATATCTCAAGGACCGCCTCTCCTCATATGAACTGACACGGACCCTGTGATCATCATCTGAGGCCCTTCTTCATGTGCCTGCTCCATGAGAAGGTGGCAACATGAGAATGGGCTTTTTTCAGCAGGGTGCAGCAACAGAGGAGACCCACTGAAATGTCATCACACATTTGGCAAACTCCCCATCCAAGCTTCCACACATAGGACTGGTTGCCAATGTGCAACGGGTACTTTCTCCTTATTGGGTTTTTCTCTGCAAGGAGGAGATTTCCAAAGGAGACCAGTGTTGCTGCAAAGGCTCAGGCTATGAGTCTGTTTACAGGAAGCTCTGTGAGTCACAAATTAAATCAGATGTGCATGTCATGGCTCTCCTTGGACTGTCCAAATAATTCATATTTAATTGGAAGGTCTCCTTCTCTTCCTCTGCAAAGATAATAGCTTTCATTAAAACTCCACCTCATAGCTAAGATTCCTGAGGGCTAAAGGGTTTAAGTAGAGGTTAAAAGTGAAACATCAAGCGTCATAGGCCAAAAGCAACCCCACAGTGCAACTTCACTGTTCTCAGTGAATTTACACCAAGAAAGAAATTGGACCCTATACCTCTGTGCTTTGTCAGAGAGCTAATAGAGTTGCCGACACACCACGACAGTGAAGGTCTGTTGTATGTCTCTTGTTGGTGTCGCCCAGCCTTTTCCCTTTGCTTTGCTCTTCAGAAATACTCTGTGTGTCTGGTTATTGCTAGCCCCTGAGAGGCACTGTGTTTCTCAGTCCTTTGAATTTTATTCCTCATTCTTGCCCAACTGCTTTCAACAAAGACAAGGAGACTGGTGTTGGTAAGATGCCTAGATTAAGCAAAGGGAGGGGCAAAGGCCAGGATCAGCTTTGTTGATTTTGAGTGCTCATTGTGTCATGTCATTGTCCTCTTTTGCATCTCACATGAGAGCCCTTGAGGAAGGATTAACAGATTTTTCTCTTTGACCATCTTCTGCTTTTGCTTCCTGTTTCAACACTTCTCCAGCAGAGATTGCCATCTCTGCATTTCCACATCTGTCTCGAACACAGAACCCGTGGCCACAACCTCACATCTTATCAAACCACTCCTCTCTCCTCAGAATGACTGTTTGTTTATAATTGGTTTATTTTAAACCACAAGAACCACTGCACACAATGGGGCATGCATCTGACTAGACATGAATAGGATTGCACTGTAAAAATAACTCTAATTTAGAGGTATAGACTGTCTCACCACAACATTTTGGGGTGCCTCCACAGCGTCAGTATTTTGTGGGAGGGATCAAAACTCAGGGGGAAACTTTAGATTCATGCAGTGACGGCAGCTTAAAAGGATCTGTCAGCTTTAAGAAAATATTTGGACCGTTTATGATTTGGAAAGTGACAGTGAAATGCATTGAAAAGTGTGAGGTGGAGGTAGGGCTGTCTTAAGCTTATGCGGTGCTGGGGTTGCCCAGTCCCAGGTGCACAGGAGAGCGGAGCCAGTCGGCCACCTCAGCGTCTCACTGTCTCGGTCACTCCCAAACTCGCAGCACAGAACCGCCCGCAACAGAAGAGCCCGCCGCGGCACTCCAAACAGCAGACGGGCTCTTCCCCGGACTCAACTCTCGGGCCCCAGACTCTCGGCCTGGCGCCCCTGAGAGCCTGGTGCCCGGGTGCCCCGCGCCCCTAGTGCCTATGGGTAAGGCGGCCCTGGGTGGAGGAATTGCCCACATGAACACATATGAACATATCATAAGCAAATCAGGATGGGTGCAGGAGGTTCAGTGTTGTATAACCACCGCACAAACAAATCAGAACAAGCGCTCAATAGACACAGGGCATTAGCTAAACTCCTCATAAGCCAAGTAAATTAAGCTGAACGCTCAGGCTGGTTGGATGAGAACGTAAGAAGACCCTGCTGAATCATCTAGTCTAACTTCCTGTTCTCTTTTTTTCCCCCATAGATATTTATTAAAATTTTCAGAATATTACAAAATCCAAAAAAGAAAAAAAGAAAAATACAAATCAAAAATAGTTAAAAACAATTCCATCTTCCTTTACTTAACTTTCATTTGCTTATTTCCTGGACTTCCTCACCCCTCCCTTTCCTGTATTCCAATTCAATTTGTTGATTCAGCAAATCCTTCCCCACTTTATTTATTCTAATCTTTCATTACATTACCTTACTCTGTTTTCCTCATTATCTTATAAAAAACCTTTTAATTCAAAACCTAATCTTATTTTTAATAACTTCTCATAACCATTATATTCTTTCCTAATCCTTTAAAGCTTTTATACTAAAGCCAAGCAATTTCATTTCAAACATCCTTCTAACATTCATCAGTTATGTAAGACAGTCCTAGTAACAAAATGAAAAAGAAAAAATCTTCATCCAGCGTCCCTTCCTCCTGGTCCCGGGTTTGTCAGTCCATTTATCCCGTCAAACTAGCACATTAACCTGGTAATCTTATATCCAAGGCTCTTAAGTCTCTTCCATGTCCCTTCCACGATTTTTCTTCATCTTTTCTTTTCACTCGTGTGATCTCCAATTTAATAATGCTTTTGCCCCTTTTCAACCAATCAGTCCCTTTTCCACAGTCCAGACTGAGCTCCATGTAGTACTTAAAAGCATATTTCAAAATCCCTCCAAACTTTAGAGCCCCCATATCTCCAAGCCTCTCACGGCCCATTGCCAGACTCGGAAAGTCCATATAACCCTGCTCAGGGGGGTCAATCCAACCCCCCATTTCCAATCCAGTCCAAACTTTATCTTTCCGAGTCTGATTTTTTCGAAGATCAGTTGCCAAATCCAAAGACTCATGTTCCTGCAGGGCCGCAACCTCCATCTCTGGCTCCATTTCTGACTCCCCAAGTTCAGCAGAATCCTCTTCTTTCATCTGTTCTGTCAAGGCGCACTCCTGGTTTGGTTCCTGGGTAGGCTCCATACCTTTTCCTACTGCCTGTCCAAAATTTCCCGCTGTCTGCTTAAGATTTCCAACCAAGTCAGTCATCAAATTCATTCCTTCATGTAATTCTTCCAATAGAGCATTTGTTTTGTAAAAAGCACACAACAACATTTCTGAATGCATTGTCCTTCAAGGTCACCAGTCAGTTCCCATGGGTTATACTGTAGCGGCTGGAAATTCCCTAGAATTAGTTACAGTTTCACAGTCTCCCTCTAGGGGGAAAACTTCTGTTACAGATCCAACCCCAAAGTTTCTTTCCCCCCCTTTTTTTCTTTTAGATACTTTGTCAATCGTTGTTATTTTAAAATGTGAAAGGAAACAGTGGAATCACAATGTTTCTCTTCTTTTAACTATCTGTCAAACGACTTCTGTCTCTGGTCAATGAGCTTCAAAGGTCAGTCCTGACACCCCGCTCCCGGGTCAGGACGGTGGAAAATTACTTTGCTTTAAACTTACTTCTGCAGGTTAAAACAGTCCAAAGAAAGCTCCCCCTTCTCCTTCTGCTGCCGAAGGGGGGGTTCAACTATTTTAGATGATGAAATGGTATAGTAATTTTCAAAGCTTTAGTTTACTTTGTCTTTGCTTTGTTCAGTCTACAAGGAAACGGAAGGGTGACTTCCTGTTTAGACCTTCCCGTTTCAGTACCAAATTATAGTAAATTTTTAAGTCCGATTCCTTTCTTTTCCCAATTCCTTATTTATAGTCCAATTTTTCAAAGTTTAGGTACTCACAGTGATTATTTTTAAAGTCCAAATTGTCCCAAAAAGAAGGCAGCGCTCTCCGGCAACGGCTATGCGGCTTCACTCCACGGAAAGAGCAGTTGACTCTCAGCACCGCGCCACTTCCCCCTCTTCGCTTCGGAGCCCGTTAGTGGGTTCCTTTGCGGGTTGGGGGGGCGCTAAGGGTGCCCGCCGAGTCCCATGGTCACAGGCTTCATCCGCCTGTGATTTTTTAAGGGGTCCCCGCTTCGCCGTAGCAGAAAGGACCCGTTTTGCGCGGAGCTTGTCCCTCCAGTTCAGAGGGAGTCCGCCATTGCCGATGGCGCCACCCCGGAAGTCCTCTAACTTCCTGTTCTCATGGCAGCCAGCCATGTGGGAAGCCTGCAAGCAGTATTTGAGCACCAGAGTACTCTCCCCTCCTGTGGTATTCAGAAGCATTACTGCCTCTGAATGGAGGCAGAGCATAGACATCATGGCTAGTGGCCATCGACATCCTTCTCCTCCATGAATTCGTCTATTCCTCTTTTAAAGCCATCTAGGTTAGTGGCCATTGCTGCATCCTGTAGGAACTGCATGAGCCACTTTTCCTTTCCATACAAATCAACTTTTTTTCTTAAGTAGTCCTTAAGCAGCCAGTATACTTCGATAGAAGCAAATCTGTATAGTGGTACCTCAGGTTACAGACGCTTCAGGTTACAGATGCTTCAGGTTAAAGACTCCGCTAACCCAGAAGTAGTACCTCAGGTTAAGAACTTTGCTTCAGGATGAGAACAGAAATTGCACAGCAGCGGCACGGTGGTAGCGGGAGGCCCCATTAGCTAAAGTGGTACCTCAGGTTAAGAACAGTTTCAGGTTAAGAACAGACCTCCAGAACAAATTAAGTTCTTAACCCAAGGTACCACTGTCTACTAATGTGACAATAAAGAAAAGAAGCCACGTATACAATTTTTGCAGGCATAGCTTGAACAAAACTGCATCGGCTGAAATTTGTTGCTGCAAGTACTGGAGTCTCATCCTTCTTTGCATCGGGCTGTACTACAACATGCATTTATTGAGCACCCATTAAAATCAACAGAGATAAATCGTCTATACTAAAAGGTGAAAGCTTGTTTTCAATACAGTTAGCCCAAAGCGAGTATCACTTACTCATCTTCTGAAAACGGATTTCCAGATATGATGTTCTTTGTCCCGGGAGCATAATTCCAATCCGTTTCTGTAATCCCAATGTAATATTCCCTATCTGCTGCCCAGGCCTGTAAGAAGCAGCAAGCCAGCAAGTGGCTTACTACAAACAGCTCCATTTTCTATTGCTGCCGGTGTAATAGAAGATCGTGTTCCCTTTATAAGATCAGGATTTCCCCTACGCACCCGCCCCCATGGTTGCTGTTGCATAGTTCAGTAGACTAAAAGATTGCACAATGCTTGCTAGAATAAACAGCCAGATTTGATGCCAGTAACTCGGGCAGCTGACGGATTAGTATTTTTAGAAAAACTTCCTTTTTATTTCAGCCAACCTCCTTCAAATGCAAATAAGACCTTCTGTAAAAGAAACTTTCCCCCATCAAAAGGGTTTAAAGGATTAAAGCTCCCCATGAATTTTTTTTGGAGTTTCCCCGGTGTGAAAGCAATGCCCATCTACTTTCTTGGACATGGTCCTAGTGGATTTTCCTGCATTCCACAACATAAGGTTTCAAGTAGCAAGACAGTGACGTGGATTCCATGTGGTCAGTAATATTAAAGTTGTCAAATTTCGAAAGAGGTCTCCTTTTCTTTTTCTTTATTCACCCTAGTAAGTACTGAGGGATTTTACAAATGGTTTGTTCTACATTCATGCTTGTTTGGTCTTCCTCATTGCTCATCCAGTTGATAAAGTCCATATAAATTTAGCAGCCTGATAGCAGAGTGCCAAAGACTAAATTCAATGCCTTTTAGTATAGGAAGAGTCATGTGCAATTTTAAGAATGACTAGTTTTTTATGCATGCAGATGAATCTGTCTATTCAGTCAATTCCGCTACTCTCTCCAAATTTTATCTGTTAAAAAGATTGATACATCGCAGAATAGGAAAATAATTTTAGGAAGCACAGACATTTTAATTATATTTATTAAATTATATTTATCCCTTCCAGGTTTCAAGTCAGACCAACATTTCCTGCCTGATTTTTTTCTCTCCACCCAAGGCCTTCTTTTTATCTAACCATGTGGTTACTTATTAGGTATGGAATGCAAATAGGATCTAACAGTCTCTCATCAACCACTCAGTAGTGGTGCCCTCCCTGTAGAACGCCCTCCTTTCAGATGTCAAGGAGATAAAGAACTACATAACTTTATTCGTCATCTGAAGGCAGCCCTGTATCAGGAGGTAAGCAATGACAAACCTAGACAGCATCTTAAAAAGTAGAGACATCACCTTGCCAACAAAGGTCCGTATAATCAAAGCTATGGTTTAGTCAAAGTAGTGATGTATGGAAGTGAGAGCTGGACCATAAAGAAGGCTGATCGCCGAAGAATTGATGCTTTTGAATTATGGTGCTGAAGGAGACGCTTGAGAGTCCCATGGACTGCAAGAAGATCAAACCTATCCATTCTGAAGGAAATCAGCCCTGAGTGCTCACTGCAAGGACAGATCGTGAAGCTGAGGCTCCAATATTTTGGCCACCTCATGAGAAGAGAAGACTCCCTGGAAAAGACCCTGATGTTGGGAAAGATGGAGGGCACAAGGAGAAGGGGACGACAGAGGACGAGATGGTTGGACAGTGTTCTCGAAGCTACCAGCATGAGTTTGACCAAACTGCGGGAGGCAGTGGAAGACAGAAGTGCCTTGCGTGCTCTGTGTTAGTTTATTCAGCTCCGGCCCATCTGGAGCTGATATGGCTCGTTTTGTCCTGAGCCCAGCAGAGTGTAATCTCGTAGTCCGCAACGAAAGGATGAGGAAGGTATGGCTACATTGCTATTTTATTTCACTATACCGAGAAACACACAAATGTACATCTTGACTCTGTGAGAGCAGAGAGCAACTCTCTCAACAAAGAAATGACAGAACAAAGAAACAGGAAACCAGTGTACGTCACATCCAGTCTCCCTTTCCTGTGGGAACCCAACAGTAACTTGAACTGTGGAATGAAAACATAGTCTTGTGACTACCAACTGCAGCTCAGTGAGGGAAACAGAAACCAACACTCTGGTCCATGGGGTCACGAAGAGTTGGACACGACTAAACGACTAAACAACAACAACAATGTTTGATGTTTTACTATGGGCTAGGGTGCTAGGGGAGGGACCTTCTGGTTGCATGGGAAAGAGCGGATTGGAAAACTTTCCTTCTGTGAACTTCCTTAGGTGACCTTGCAGTACAATCCCAACACCCTGTTGAAGGGGGTAGGATAAGGACTCCACTGCAGAGACCCCATCTGCACAGAGTGAGAGAAGAAGCTTCTGGGAGTGGTAAGTCCCCATATGGGGCATTTGGGGTTGGGGCCAGCAGTTTGGATCTGCTGATCCCTCAAGACCATCCTCGGAGCCCTCATTTGCAGCGACCTGGACCTGGAACTGGCACAGCGAAAAGTAAAACAAACAGCATCCCTACCTTTTGCCATGGTTAGCATGAGGGGCAGGGCTTCAGATGTTGCGATGTGTCCAGCCAGATGTTAGGATTGCTCTGCCCAGATCCAAACCCATGTCTCAAAATAGCAGTTTGCTGAAAATAATGTGTGCATGATCCAAATGACATTTTCAGTGGTTTCTGCTCTCTTCCTATAGTTGCATAACTGAGTTTGTGTTGATTGCCAAGATCAATTGGCCCACTGCAAAGATAGCTGAAGCTTTTAGATAGTTGACATTAAGACTATAAGAAGAGGCCTCTGCTGGATCAGGCGAAAGGCTCATCTAGTCTAGCAGCTTGTTCTCATGATGGCCAATGAGATGCCTATGAAAGGCAGATTTTCACTGGGGACATACTGATCCTGTTGACTGCATAAAACGCCCTTTTCAAAAACAGCATCTGCCTAGATTAGCTCACAGAACATCTTGAACTTCATGTAATAGCTTGTAACTTATTCTGATATATGGCTTCATCTTTTGTTTTAGAATTGACCACAGAACAATACAGTTGGCCTAATCTGTTTTTTATTTTAAAAAACCACGTTTAAAGGCACTATTAATATGTGTTTCCTGCAATGTAAGAACATGTGCTTTTTCCTTCTGTAATTTGACAAAAAAAATTGTGCTTAATTGCTTCATTAAGTTCATTTGCATTCACTGAAATGCAATTAATAAAAATCTTATTAAATTTTACAAGCCATTGTGCAGGAAACAAAAAGAAGGATATGCAATTAATCCCAGAATTAAGTTTACACAGTAGGATTGCTATTATTGAGTTTTCATTACAGTAGTTTGTAAAACTTAGCCTATGACTAATGTGTGTAGGTTCATTATTAGAACTAAAATTCCCTGCAGGCAGAGCATGTCAAGATTAGGGTCCTGACGCCCCCAGTGTCAGGAAAAAGCAGCAATGCAAAAGCCAGCTGCAGGTGGCTGGAATGCAAAACAGGATGTTGATGTCTGGAACTGTACTGTTGGGGAAAAGGGGCAGTCTATTCTCTGTACTGAGCACCGGATGTTAGCTCAGAGTGTCATCTGACCTGTACTGGAAGTACAGGGGTGGAGCTGAGACTCTTCTGCCGGAGTCTGGAGGGTACAGACACGTTTCTCTGTACTGCTGAATGACAGGAATAAAAGACATGTAAATAGGACTCCTGTCTGTCTCTTTTCCCCTCCCTGGGGGAATGCAGGGAGGGAGAGGAGGAGGGTGTGTTCTCTTCACGTTTGAGGAGGATCGTCGAGTTGCGACCTTGCCTGTGCCCTGCCGGGAGACGCAGACGGGAAGGTCATCAAGAATCTCAGCCGATTGCCTGGAATGTGAGGCCAGTTACCTCTGACTGCGGCTGAGAATTCTGACACCCAGGCAGTTTGACTTCAAACCCGGTGACACTCCACTATCTCTCAAGGCAGACGGATGCCAACAATACATATGGTCAAAAGTTCTGCTTCAACCTTAGCTAACCCACTTCCTTTATGCATATATTAGTGTCTGGTTTTTCTTATTTAGCTTTCTACTGCTTTTTGTATTTGCTTTATTTCAGTTAGATATTAGCAATTTCATTCAATTTTGCTCTCAGTTGACTTTCAGTAGCAATACCATTTCTAGGGAGAGGAAAATTTATGAAATATAGGGAGGTAAAGACAGATAAGATACAGACTGAATCAAGCCACACACTGCATTGCTTTATTTGATAACCGGAATCTTGAAATAACAGTGGCTTAGTTTCAAAATATGGCTGTGCACTCAGTTATCGTCTGTAAACAACTCTTCGAAGTCTGTCGTTATAGTCAAATAACTTTTTCGCTGTGGCTGTTGAGATGTCTCTTCCATGCTTACCCAAGCTAATGCCTGAACAAAAACTGATGTTTTCCGCCTTCCTGTCCCTCCCCAACCCCCTGCCCCTGAAGCGTGAGACAAAGGAGCCATTCACTAAACAGAGGCTGTGAAATTCTGAAAGTCTTTTTCTTTCTTTTGTTTTTGCTTCTTGGACACAAATTGGAAATGTGACCTTGCTTCTCCCCGCCTCCCCAAATAATTGCTAATGTACAGTTTCAGAGCTAGGAAGCCTAACGATAAAGGCACTGGTCAATTAAGCAGGCGCTCCACTTCACTCTGCCACTTAAAATTAATGATGGGCGTTGCCTCCATAGGGCAACAAGTTGGGGGAATGACAAGAGATCAGTCAGCAGAGAAAATATCTAGGTCAATTTAGAGCGCTGTGTGAGTGTAACTTGAGAAAAGAGCACTGAGCCTGCAGTGAAATGATATGTGGAATGTGAGCAAATGCCCCTACTTACTAGGCAGCATTTGTGAGGGGGTGGGAGGCTTATTCTCTCCCCCCCAACCATCCCACTGCAGCAGCCTCCCTCTCCTCTGCTTTTTGCCTTGGCACCTGCAGCAATTTTTTCTTTAAAAAGAGCCACTCCTTAGAATTGTACGGAACCACAAGGCCCATCTCGTCTAACCCCTTGCAATGCAGGAATCTTTTGCCCAATGGGGGGCTCAAACCCACGACACTGAGAATAAGTGTCTTGTGCTCTACTGACTGAGCTATCCACCAGTTCTCCAGCAAAATAGCAAACCAGTTTGACTACCCAGGAAAAACCGAACCCTATGCCGCTCACCACCAATGGGGTGGCTGAGCGAGATGCAGTCAATTTGATGCAGCCCCAAAGTGAACATAACCTCAACAGGACATAATTTCTCAGAAAGTTTCCTATACAGTGGTACCTCGGGTTACATACGCTTCAGATTACATACGCTTCAGGTTACAGACTCCGCTAACTCAGAAATAGTACCTCGGGTTAAGAACTTTGCTTCAGGATGAGAACAGAAATCATGCAGCGGCAGCAGGAGGCACCATTAGCTAAAGTGGTACCTCAGGTTAAGAACAGTTTCAGGTTAAGAACAGACCTCCAGAACGAATTAAGTTCTTAACCCGAGGTACCACTGTACAGAGTATCTTTGGCACCCTTTTGCAGCTCTCTCTTTCTCAATCTCTCTCTCTCTCTGCTGATTTGGCTCCATATATAATTCACATACAAGGCCAATCTGATGGAGACGCCATGTAAATATTCTGTTGCGCTTCCTCTTTAGTTATTTCAGCAAGTGTCCCTCAAGTTAAGCTGATATTTCACTCCAAGAGCACAGCACACTTGCGCTTCCTGTTGCCTGACCGAAAGTCCACTTGTATATGCAAATACAAAGGGGGGCTTGAAAGGTAAACAGATTAGAAAAGGAGGAGGAAGGGATGAAAACAGGGAGCAAGAACATGTGGATATGCCAAACATTGCACACCTGCAAAGAAGGGTGTGCCGCATCATAAATCACATGCTGGGGAAATAGGGAGTTGAACCCCATATAACATATATATATTTAGTTTGTTCCATACAGGATTCTTCAAGGGCAAGTGTCTAAATCAATCCGGTTGTAGAATGTGACATTATATCCATAGATTTCTGAATGCATTCACTACAGGTTTGTGTCACTTTTTTTAAAAGTAATGAGTTTATCATGGCAGAAAAGGGGGAAAATGTACTTTGAGTATACGGTATTGTTGCTGTCTGTATGGGTTTTTTTTCTTGTTTGGGGTTCTTTTCTTTGTGTTGTTAATTGATAATTTCATGTATCAGTATTTTGAAAATGAATAAAAATAATGATTAAGGCATGGAAATGTGCGTGTGTGCATATAAAAAAGGAATGCAGCAAAACAGAAGGAGCACTCCAAGCTTATCAAGTAAGTCAAAAGGTGTGATCAAAGACATGATGACATGCTAGCGTCTGTGCTTCTTTTCTCATGAATGTTAGATCAGTGCAGGCTGTGGGAAAGAACAGAAAGAGGTCAAATTTTAACTTACAAGTTAAACCAGAACTTGGAAGTTTTCACTTATATCCTATGCAGCTTCGCAGTCAAGCACTATTTATTCATTTACCATACTTACCATTTTCATAGCCCTGCCTATACCACAGAGCCTATACCACAAAGCCAATCAGAAGGTCGGTGGTTCAAATCCCCGCGACGGGGTGAGCTCCCGTTGCTCAGTCCCTGCTCCTGCCCACCTAGCAGTTTGAAAGCACCTCAAAGTGCAAGTAGATAAATAGGTACCGCTCCGGCGGGAAGGTAAACGGCATTTCCATGCGCTGCTCTGGTTTGCCAGAAGCGGCTTAGTCATGCTGGCCACATGACCTGTACACCATCTCCCTCCGCCAGTAAAGCGAGATGAGCATCGCAAACCCACAGTTGTCCGTGAGTGGACCTAACAGTCAGGGGTCCCTTTACCTTTACCTTTATACCCAAATATTCCAGGGCAGAAATGCGTAGTGGGACCAGTTCTCTCTTTTTTTCAGGGGGTACTCAAGAGTACCTAGTTTCTGGCACCTCTTTTTTTTTTTTTGTCAAAAAGTGTGGCACTTAATGTAACAGCTTCATAGTGAGTACCGACACCTACTTTTCTACAAAAGGAAGCACTGGGTGGAACTCAAATCCTTCATAGAAGAGCATTTAACTGTAGAGCTATGACTATAAGAACGGGTTTGTTTCTTTGCTGTTTTTTAAAGCAGCTTCTGGAATGATTCTCTTACCTGAACAAAGACAGAATAGGTCCCACAAAGTATCCTCTTTAGCTCCGCAATCACTTTCAGAAAGCAGATCAACATTTGGAGGCCGCTAAGAGCTATCAGAATAGAAAACAAAATGATGTTCCACTCCACTACATAGGCAGGTTCGGAGCATTCGGACCAGGAGGCGTGATCCGTGAGGTAGCTATCAGAGAAACAGCAGCATAAAGAAGTTAGAAGCTATTATTGTAGATTTACCTCAAGGCCTGTCGAGTTTGGCAGGCAGGGGAAGTTTCAGTCCCCATTCAGAGCTATAACCACTTGACTCCTCATCTTCTCATCCATCTTTGAGGCTATTTCAAAGAAAGAAACTGAGCCAGACTTCCTTTTCTAAGTATAACCATGCTTCTAGCCCCGTGAACCAGCCATAGTGACAATACTGCTTCCTTCTGCCTCAGTTCCTCTCCCAAATATGGCTCCTGTGAAACATGTTGCCTTTGTCCCCTGCATTTCTGGAGCTGCTTTCTAGAGATGTGAGGGATGTTATTCCCCATTAGAGTTTCTACATCAATAGTGGGTGATCAGGGCCAGCCCTATCATTAGGCAGAATGTGGACAATTGCCTAAGGTGGCAGTTGCTGGGGAGTCAATCTGCTCTGTTGGAGATCAGAGCTATGTGTGCTACAGGCTTGGCCTACACTCCTCAAACTAGCCTGCTGATCTCAGGTGCACTGGAAGTCATTATCCCATTGCTGGTGATGAAGTAGGATTCAACTACCAGCTTTTGTCCATGGGAAGGGAGGTACCATCTTCTCCTTTGCCTCAGGCAGCCAGACGTCTTGTGCTGGCTCTGTGGATGGGCTACCAGGGACAGAGGTGTCCCTACTGTAATGTTGCCTCAAAGCACAGTTTCTCCCCATGTGACCAGATAGCAGCCATTCATTTCTATGGGAAGACATGCAGGCATGCACTAAAGGGCACCATTAGTGCATGGGCTAAACCCCCACATGCACTGAACGAGAAGTAGTTTTTGCCTTTTCAGATTGTCTTCCTCGTTCCATCGAACTCCGTGGGACATACTGAAAACTAACCTGGACCCTAACGGCAGGCCCCTACACCTCGTGCAAAGGCACCAGCATTTTACTGCGAATTTCTACTAAGATACACGTTTTTGCAAGCAATTTGCCCTAGTAGAAGGCATTTTCCTATGTTACTTTTACTAATATATATGCACATTTGACTCTATATTTCAAAAGATGGGTGTTTGGATTTGACATCCCGCTTTATCACTACCCAAAGGAGTCTCAAAGCGGCTAACAATCTCCTTTCCCTTCCTGCCCCACAACAAACACTCTGTGAGGTGAGTGGGGCTGAGAGACTTCAGAGAAGTGTGACTAGCCCAAGGTCACCCAGCAGTTGCATGTGGAGGAGTGGGGAATCGAACCCGGATCACCAGATTATGAGTCTACCGCTCTTAACCACTAGACCACACTGGCTCTCTCTGTGTTTTGGTCTGGTGTTTTGGGGGCTGGTTCAAAGCTGCCCCTTAGAGACAGCAATCTTTCTTTCTTTCTTTCTTTCTTTCTTCTTTCTTTCTTTCTTTCTTTCCTTCTTTCTTTCTTTCTTTCTTTCTTACCGTCCTGCAGTGTCTTTGAAGGCATACTCCCAGCCAGCAGAGGTTCTGCAGTATGGGCCCTGCACTAAACCCAAAGTAGATATGATCAGGCTGTATCCAGAGAACGCGATGCCTAGCAGGGCAAGCACAACTGAAATGAAGCGCTGCATTAAAGAGAGCACAGTGTTATCTTTATGACAGTGAAGGAATTCCATCGCTTCAGTTTCCTGATAAAAGTGTGTGTGTTTTTTCTACCCAATACTTAGATGAACTCAGCATAGAAAGTGTTCCATAACTTAAAGAGCCGGGGGGGGGGGGGAGAAATAGCAATAATCTTTAGCACAGATTAGAATGAATGTTGTTGGCAGGCAATGTCTCAAAATAGCATAATCTGTTATAAGAACACACTTCTACCTTGTTGGAACTGGTGGGAAAATGCTATTACTACAAAAGAAGCAAGCTGCAAGAAAGGGAGCATTGTCTGGACAAAGTTTGCTGGGGGGGGAGTTACGCTGATAGCCTTTGTCATAAAAAATTTAAGGTCTTATAATATATACAGTCATACCTTGGGTTAGATGTGTTTCAGGTTGAGCGTTTTCAAGTTACGCTCCACGGCGACCCGGAAGTAACGGAGCTCATTACTTCCGGGTTTTGCTGCTTGCACATGCGCAGATGCTCAAAATGAGATCACGCGCATGCCGTTTGCATCCCGTTCGCATCCAGAGGTACCACTGTAATAACTGTTCATAAATGTACCAACCAAGCACGTACATAGATATGTGGACCACATGTCTGGAGCAGCACAGGAAGACTGTCCTGAAACCGTTTTGACTCCCAGACTGACCAAATGTTTTCTCTGCAAGGAGGGAGGGGGTGAGGGAACCTTCTCATTGCCTCAGGAATTGGGTAATCACCATCTCAAAGGAATGGCCACTCTACCAAGAAAGGCATTATTAGTTAACCTGGCAGACAAGAAAAACAACAACATTCAAATTTCTGTTGTAGACCGCCTTTTCTATGACGTAGGTATGATGTTTGTGGGGGGTGGTCTTGGGTTACACCCATTCTGTGGTGTATGTATGGAGGGGTGGTCTTGAGCTCCAGGGCAGGGAATTTAAAATGTCTATATAAGGGCAGGCACACCTTTGTTCTAGGTCCTCCTCCTTTCCTGCGTGTGAGGGGAGCACCCTGTTAATAAAAATCAGGCTTACTAGCTGCTTTGCTTCTCAATATTCTCTGGCTGGCCTCTGTTATTTTCTCCTACCGATGGAGAACCTATAAAGGGCTCTTGTGTACCCCATAAGGGAAGATTTTGTTTGCAACACTTGTCAGTTGGATTTGCTGTCAACATTCTCAATATGGGTGCTTGTTTTAGAGGAGGGGGAGCAGGAGTGTAGCATGGGGGGGGGAGAGACAGCTGCCAGGGCAATTGCTGGGGTGGGATCGAAGGGCGCATGGCTGCTGCATCCAGCTCACTCTGCCCTCCCCACAGCCTCGCAGATCAGAACGAATGCTCAATAAATAGCCAATGCCATCTAATCTCCCAGCAAGCTTTGTGCAAACAAGTCAGGATGAATGCTCAATAAAACAGGTTGTCTGGAAGCAACGTGTGATTCACCCCACAGTGATGAGCGTTTGAGGCAGGAAGAAATTGGCCGGAATCCCAGAGTATCTCATAAAAAACAAAAACAGAAAAGGTTTCCGTCAATTTGAGAGCAGTGGGAGCACTTCTTCCTGTTGTTGTTTTTCACCCCAGGAGGAGCTGTGGAGATCAGAGGTAGCCTCTTTCTTTTCCTCTCCAGTACAGAATAAGGAAGGAGATGGGAGCAGAAGGGGTCAAAGGAAGTTTGCGGCACAAATGCCATGTGTGGAAGCAAGATACGCACCCTGTAGGTCCTGGTGCAGCTTTCACTTGGGCAGCATTTTTGGAAGGTGTCTCGGTCCAGGAATATTAAAAGTGCTGCCAGCATAAGCATCTGGAAAGGCAGGAGTGGAAGTCACAGAGGATACGGTATCCAATAATATCACGTTCTTATAGACTCTATAAAGAGGGACGCGGGTGGCACTGTGGGTTAAATCACAGAGCCTAGGACTTGCCGATCAGAAGGTCAGCGGTTTGAATCCCCGTGATGGGGTGAGCTCCTGTTGCTCGCTCCCTGCTCCTGCCAACCTAGCAGTTCGAAAGCATGTCAAGTGCAAGTAGATAAATAGGTACCGCTCCAGCAGGAAGGTAAACGGCGTTCCCTTGCACTGCTCTGGTTCGCCAGAAGCGGCTTAGTCATGCTGGCCACATGACCCAGAAGCTGTACGCCAGCTCCCTTGGCCAGTAAAGTGAGATGAGCGCTGCAACCCCAGAGTCGGCCACGACTAGACCTAATAGTCAGGAGTCCTTTTACCTTTTACCTCCTCTATATTGAGGGGAATACAAAGGATAGTCACCATGAAGTCCCATTGAAATCCATTTAACTTAATTTAACAACCTAACTCCTGATCTTATTTACTTAGAAGGCAGTCCTGCTAATTTCAAAGGGGTGTGTTTTCCAATAAGCACGGTTGCCTTATGTAACTCTACACTGAGCTGCTCTGATTTTGAATTCAATGGTATAAACACTTTGAAATACATAAATGAATAAAGGAAGCACTTTGTTTGGTATTCAGTCCAACAAACACTGGCTACCATAGTCATATCACCTGCCAATTCTCATTAGTTCAAGCCCATGTCATACATATTGAGATCACACTTATATTACTCTAGAGTAGGATGGAAGGCTCTGCCAATTTTGGTTTTCTCAGTTTTCCATTTCCCCCCAGTTTAAAGTTCAATTCTCCATATTTCTGCCACCATTTGCAGGGGGGGGTTGCTTTATTGTTTTTTTAACTCCTTATAAAAATGATGAGCATTTTAATGTGACTTATTCCTAATAAATATATTTTTGCCCTGAACATATGGGATACAGCAATTTCTGAGCGTCTCAGCAGACACAGAGGGCAAATAAAGGCATAACGAATAGAGACACCTTCCAAGAAACGTGGACTTTCTTTAACTATGTTAATGGCCCAAATCAAGACTTTGTTATACCAAACTGCTTAGTATTCTCAGTGGAGGGAATACGTTAAGTAATATGCTTGAACACTGAATGTGTAAGTGTGTAAGTTTATGTTTAAAGTCAATGGCTAGAACAAACAACATTAGATGTACTGCTGGAAAAGTGTCTCTTGTATTTGAATTTGTTTAAAGACCAATAAAAAATTGTATGTAACTTAGAATAACATCCCCTTTTTTTGCAAGCAATTTCCCCTGATATAATGCATTTTGTACGTTATGTTCACTAACATATGCACACTTTCCCCTAATATATTTGTAAAAATATTAGTTTACAAATGTTTCACAAAATTCAAATAAGTGAGAATTTTGGAAGGCGGCTCTGTTTTGGTTCTCATATTCTAGAAAATGCAGATTTGATCGATTCAGCTTTAAATGCAATGAATTTCTCCCCCCACCCCTCCTCTGTAGTAAATGCTTATGTATGTTGTTGGCAAACAAGCCTATATTAGAAAGCAATTTCTTTTGGGTGACTGTCGCCCTTGATTTCAGGATCCCAATTACATCTCCTGTCTCTAAAATAAAGCCACTTCTCTTTTCTTCCCCCCATCTGCCCCTTCTGACATTGCAAGATCACACAGCAGATTAGCACCTTGTTGCAGGCATCCCCAGAGAAGCGATGGAAAAAGAAAGCAGAAACCACACTTACCATAATACCAGAGAAACAGATTCCTTCAAAATACCACACATAGTTGGTGAGATTGTTGCTGGAAGCATACAGAGCCTTCCCATCAGGAAAATAGAGCAGGATATTTATAACAATGCTCCAAAGTGCTAGGGGGATTAACAGGCAACTGAGGCAGCCGCCACACTTTTGTAACCCCATCTCAAAAGGGCAGAGAAGGTGGTGGCCAATCCTTCCTGCCAAGTTGTCAAACGTCTCAACTTTCTTGCTTCAACTGAGTCATTTCGCATCGACAAGAACCCGGTTGCTGGGATATGATTCTTCTCAAACAAGCTCAGTGCCCAGCAAATAAAAGCTTTGCGGTTCGTAGAGCAATAGGCAAGTACCACTGGCTGGAGTTCTTGTCATATCCTTGAAAGGAGGGGAGGGTGTTCCTCTGAGGAAATTCACCTCTAAAGGGAATTCCGACTCAAACCTCAGTTGCGCTTCGGAAGACAGGGGACTCAGTAAAGAAAAAGCGCTTTATATGAATTATAACACTGTGACACCAGATGGTGCTGTGGAGTCCTGTCTTTCGCCAATGGGATTTCCCTTGACAGTGGTACTTCGGGTTACATACGCTTCAGGTTACATATGCTTCAGGTTACAGACTCCGCTAACCCAAAAATAGTACCTCAGATTAAGAACTTTGCTTCAGGATGAGAACAGAAATCGTGTGGCAGTGGCGCAGTGGCAGCAGGAGGCCCCATTAGCTAAAGTGGTGCTTCAGGTTAAGAACAGTTTCAGGATAAGAACAGACCTCCGGAACGAATTAAGTACTTAACCTGAGGTACCACTGTATGAAGTTTACAATGCATTTAACTGAATCGCTTTTTTTTGATGTGTCTAGATCCAGCCAGGGGCATAGGAAGGGGGTGTGGGGCGGTACGACCCTGGTGTCATCCTTGAGAGGGGGTGACAAAATCCCCCCTGGGCACTGATCGTCGTGCCGATCACCCCCCCCCCCGGCAGCTCACCCCACCCCCGGGTGCATGGCATGTGCACCGCTCTGGGCATAGCTGTCAACATTTCCCTTTTTTAAAGGGAAATACCCTTATTCTGAATAGGATTCCTCACAAGAAAAGGGAAAAGGTGACAGCTATGGCTCTGGGTGCCCCATTGGCTAGTTCCACCGCTGGATCCAGCCACGGTTTCTCCAAAAATAGAAGAAAAACAAGACAGGGTTATGTAGGTATGACCAATTGACTGCCTGCTTTTTATTTTCCATAGCAGCATACAATTGAGTTGGCATTTAACTGAGCTTGGAGCCTCAAGCTCACCTGGAAAACATGCCCTCTTGCCAGATGCGCCAACGCTGTATGAGGTACAGTTGATTAGGACGCCAAACCAATTCTCTTCTTTACCTTGGTGCTGCTTTGTGAGGATGAGGCTCCAAGTTGGCTCCAAGTTTCCAGAGAGCTGGATGAGCACCCGGAATAAGGAGTTGATGTTTACATGCCTCTGCATCCCAAAAGAAGTCTTAGCTCATCCCGAAACATTATCCCACCTTCCCACTCGCAGTGACTGTCCCATTTCAGATGCAGTAGCATTTGTCTCCATTTCAAAGAGGTTTGGTTTTTGGTACTTTAATATGTGATACCCATAAGAACAAATAAGCATAACTGTTAAAAGCAGGTGATGGGTAATACTGTACTGGTCTCAATATAGGGCTGTACCCCCCCCCAGATCTGGCTTGTATAAAACCTGAGTGAGGTTTATAATCATGTACTTCTAGGTAGAGAAGCCATGATTTAAAACGAGACCTTGGGACCCACATAGGGCTTTGGGATACTTCAGAAGGTTGTTTTTTTGTGTGTGTTTTTGTAAAAGGATCACCTGTCCTTCTCGACAGGTATCACTCGTTGCTTGGTGAGCTATTTCATTGCTGGACAGGACTAGAGGTTGAATGTAGCTTTTAGATTGTAAAAAAGCACTGGGTGGTGTCAACGTTTCCCTTTTTTAAAGGGAAATTCCCTTATTCCGAATAGGATTTCCCTTTAAAAAAGGGAAAAGTTGGCAGCTATGGTGCCAGAGCTTTATGGTACATGTTTTCCTCTCAAAAAGATCTCAGCCTATATTTGGAGGTGGCTTATATTTGGACCAATTTGGTGCCTCTTCCTGAAACCCTGTCATTCAAAGCCGAATAGACAACACAAGGTTAGGTGAACCAAAGGCTGGGTCTTTCTTGCACCAGGGTGTGGCAACCTGTTTCAGGTGGCATCATGAGGAAAGGATAGCTGCAGACAAGAATTCGTGTGTGAAAAGTACAACAAGACTTTTTACTGGCTCCAGCATTTGGGCTCAACTTTAGGCAACAAAAATTATCTCATACCTGGTAGAAAGCATCTTTCTATGTTCTTCCTAACCTGTTTTCACAAAAACATAGAACAATTTCAATTCCAGTATCGAAATATAGGATGAACTTTTTTTCTTGAAAACAACAACAGAATTCAGTGTACTGCAGTTCTAACTGCATATGTGTGGGAATAAGTTGAGGGAGGGCTATCATTTAAGTGGGTAAGTTCCCTTTCTTAATGGGGATGCAGTTTTGTTTGTTGAAACGTCACTACTGATTTCAGACTGCATGTGGGTGCCAGTAACATTATGTTTATCAAATAGGATTATATACAACTCTCTGGCAGGGCTCTAAATATAGGCTTGCAGCAGGGTTTCTCCTACCCCAGAAAGAAGTTGTAAGAAGGGAGTTTGGGTTGTACTTGGTATGCAATGTCTGAAGACCACACCATTTGTGTGCTGTTTTTCCACAGCTCAAAGTGGCTTTCCACAGGCAAAAATGATAATCATAGATTGTGCATGCCAAACAGAAGAAATGTCTTCTGCTTTTGTTGGATTGCTATTTAACAGACATCTAAGAAAAAGCAGTGCCTGTTTCTCAACTGTCCCTTAGTGTTGCAATAGTTACAGCTACATTCCCGTAAATGACAAGTTTCCTAGTTGTTGTTGCTTGCCGAGAGAGTTGAATAACCTACCTGCTGACTGATACCAAATTTGATCAAAAGCAATTCATTTGCCAGACATAAGGTTTTTGTTCTGAAAGGATTTAGAACTCATCGGTAGGCGTTATGTCATTGCCATCATTTCATGACAGTCTCTGCTCGCATAAGAAAGCCGAAAAGATTTCTGTCATGAGTGTAAAGATCACTTCCAGTTTTGCACTAAGTGCAAATCAAATGTGCAAGAGGATATCTTCTTACAGTGAGGAGAGATGAAAGACAAGGGAGATTCCTGCATTACAGGGGGTTGGACTAGATGACCCTCTTGGTCCCCTTCCAACTCTGCAGTTCTTTTTTATTTCACTTACTACAGAGATGCAATAGCTTCTAATTTTAGCACACGAGCTGCCTTTCTCCTTAGCGATTTCCTTGCAGCGCTTCATGTGGTCTATTTCTGGTGCCAATTCGTTCATAACCTTCTCAGATCTGTATATTTAACTGTGAATTTTGTTCGGCAGTGAAATGAATCTCTATGAAAGACGTGAAAAGAAAGAAAACACACGTGGGGGTTGTGGGGTTTTTTATTGTTACTGTTATGGATCACCGTCATCTTAATTTTCAACCCAGTCTTTTTAAAGTCGGATCTCCTTCACTCCTTCCCACCTTGACGTCATCTTACTTCCTTCTTCTATAGGAAGATACAATGTTCAAGGAAGCAGCCTCTCTGCTCCTTAGGTATGCACTTCCCAAATATATCTCTATATCCAGAAAGGATAAATAATACAACTCCGGCCCTAATCAGGCATTCCATGGAATGTGTGAAGACAGAGACTGTGGGAGGAAGGTGGAGAATGCACGCCAGCCCTGACCTCAACTCCACTTCTGACTTCAACACACCGAGCGCAAAGGTCTGAAGTTTATTCTAAGTGCATTTGGCTAAACATACTTGGAATCTTCCCCATGCTTGAGTATGCAAGCAAGGCAGGGGTCTCAATCTCAGGAATCTGTGGGTTCAGCTTAGAATCCCACTTCAGACCTTTGCATCTGAAATTTGCTCGCATGGTGGTGGGATGTGGAGCTAATGTACTCAACTCTGCTCCCTCCCCAGGTCCATTTCAAACACCTGAAGGAGGAGATATATGACGCGCCCCTAACATGGGCATAGGCAAGGGGGCGGGGGGGGCACTTGCCCCCCTCCTAAATGAAGTAAATAAATAAAAATACTTTATTAAACGTAGAAACCGTAGGAAGATTGACAGATTTTTCTGAGCACTTGGGGTAAAACAAAAAGTAATTTAAAACAACATTTCATTCCGAATCTGCTAGACAGAGCCAGACAGAGGATGGTGACAGGTGTCCTGCCCCTCCCTGACATAAATCCTGACTACGCCCATGATCCCTAATAAAATGAGTCCAAGCTTTTACTGGTACCATTACTCAGCTACAGCTCCTAGTCCTGTCATTTGAAGCAATAAACGTCTTGTTTGGGGAAATCAATTTATACATGAAAAATAGAACATTGAAAATCATCCGATTAACGATGGAAAACAGTATAATATATGCTCACAATGCAATCCTATACATGTCTACTCAGATGTAAATTTCACTGAGTTCAGTAGGGCTTACTCCCAGTTACGTGGGTTCAAGGTTGCAGCCTAAATGATCCATCAGTCTGCGCTTACATAGCTAACAATATAGTTACATTTCTGTAACATAAGAGAGCTCAAAGGGGATCTGAGTTACGTGCTAGAAGCTTTTAAACAATGCTATTCGGGAACAATGTATGTGACATGAACAGAGTACATATGCTATATAAAACAAGTGCTAAGAATATGAGTTTTGTCTCAGTTCAAAAAAATACAGGAATAATTACAGTGAAGTATGAGAAGTTTTCAACCCATTTCCAAGTCCAAGCGTTTTAGCAAGGGCAGGTCTGTAAAAGATTAAAAACACACATTTGATAAATACATGAGAGCAATAGCCCAGAATCCAAAACCCTTATCCATTTATACAATATAGGCAGCCCAGTGCAGAGTTCACTGAATTCAAGGTCAATTTCAATGGATCATGACTCATTTTCAGAGCTGATGCACTGATCTGAATGGGGGAAACTCCCCATTGCTAGATCCCCTGTTGTGATGCCAACTTTAGTGTTGGCATCCTTTGGTAGAGTCTGTCATTCACACAGAAAGTAGTGGGGCTTTTTCCTTGTGTGATGTTTCTCAGTCCTATACAACAAGATTTCGGTTGATTGACCGTCAGATGTTCCCATGAAAGGGAGAAAATGATAGTCACTCAAGGACCAAAGGAACAATGCTTGGAAGTAAAACGGTTGGTAGATACTCCTTATGAGACCAGAAGATTATAAAACTAAATATGGCACCAGTAAAAGCTCTGGTGATCAAATCATTTTGAAAGTTTGGGAGGAAATTAACATCATGGGACACTTGCACACATTCTCATATTTTCATATGAGCAAATCCCACTGATGTAACATTAT